TGTGTCTCTATGTATGTATGTATGTGTGTGTGTCAGTATGTTTGTGAGTGTCTGTATTTATGTATGTGTGTTTGTATGTATGTGTGTGTCAATATGTCTGTATGTATGTATGAGTGTGTCTGTATGTATGCATGTGTATGTCAGTGTCTGTATGTATGTGTGTGTGTGTGTGTGTGTGTGTATGCATGTGTTTGTATGTATGTCCTTATGCATGTGTGTGTCTGTATCTATGTTAGCTTGTGTCTGTGTTTCAGTATGCATGTCTGTGTGTCTCTATGTGTTTGTATGTTTGTTTCAGTATGTGTATGTCAGTATGTATGCCTGTATGTGTGTATGTATGTTTCAATATGTGTCTCTGTTAGTATGTATGTGTGTTTGTCAGTATGTCTCTGTGTGTCTGTATGTGTGTATCTGTGTGTGTGTGTGCGCGCATCTGTGTCCTTTTGTATCAGTGTATGTATCTGTGTGTGTCTGTGTGTGTTCTGTGTCAATATTTGAGTTTCTGTGTATCTGTGTGTGTGTCTGTGTGGGTATATATGTGTGTGTGCATTTGCATGTGTGTCAGAGTGTGTATCTGTGCATTTGCATGTGTGTCAGTGTATGTGTCTGTGTATCAGTTAGTGTGGAAGTGTATGCACTACACACAAATGCACACCTGCATTCAAACACCAACATTCACACACATACTCCATGCTTACATTCAAACACAACTTGTTTTTATATATATATATATATACACATATATATATATATAATGCAATGTTAAACAAAAATCTGCACATCAGTCAAGCCATAAGACTTGCTTTTCCCACAGAAATCACACATTTGCAGTGATGTTACTACCGCAAAGTATTCTGGGTGGGCATATGCAAATTAGTTTAACAAAGAATCACATTTTTGCCTCATTCCATTTTAAACATGGATTCTTTTGAGTCTGTGTTTGCTGTATACAACAGCTTAGAAACACAGCTTAGGAAAAGATGCAAAGCCAGTAAACCACTCATGGAAAGCTGTTTCATTGTTAATGCAAATCATCAGCATGAGGTTGGTTACTGGTTGGCTATTGAAGCTTGGTAGTGCTTGGGAAGCAAAAACCAAAAAGGTTATGGGGGGAAAAATTGTGATTGAAAACCCCTTCCACCTGAAGTCTGTGGATAGTTAATACAATGTTAAACAAAAATCTGCACACCAGTCAAGCCATAAGACTTGCCCCACCCACCTCCCCATGGCCCAGATCTTGAGTTGTGTTAGGGCCCCAAAATGGTGATGGTGGCCCTGGTAATAAGTATAATCTTTACCAGGGACAGCCCAAGACATTGTGCTGCCTGGGTGCAATGATGAAGTGATGTCCCCCATCAATGAGTAATGCTTTCCTATGGGCGGTTTGAATGCGCGCGCGGCTCTTGCCACGCATGCACATTCAGAGTTGAGAGGCGGATCGGGGCGGAGAGATCGCCAGCGCCAAGGGAGTCCGCTGGAGAAAGGTAAGTGCATAAGACACACACACACACTCTCACGAACAGATGCATACACACTAGCTAACAGACACACACATTTACTGACAGACACACACTCAGTGACAGACATACATGCACACTCACTGACAGACAGACACACGCTCACTTACAAAACACACACTCACTAACAGACGCACACAAACTAGCACACTCAATAACAGACACACACAGTAACACACTCACTGACACACTCTAGCACTAACACACCCACTCTAACACACACACACACACTCTAACACACACACACTAACACTAACACACACACACACACTCTAACACTAACACATACTAACACACACACACTAACACACACTTTAACACACACACACTAACACACACACACACACACACACACACACTCTAACACACACTAACACACATACTCTAACACACACACTAACACACACGCTCTAACACACACACACACACACACACATACTTTAACACACACACACATTTTTTTTTTTTTTAAATTGCATCCCCCAGCCTCCCTACCTTTGGGAGTGCTGAGGGGATTCCCTGGGGTCCAGTGGGGCTGCCTGGCGGCCGGTCCTGCGGGCAGGCTGGCAGGCTGGTGGGCGCGCGAGGGAGCACTGTCCCCTGAGTGCTTCCTGTTCAGCTCCCTTGCGCGCCCCTGGTGGGCCGGGCCCGGCACTAGCCGCGATCCCGGTATGTATGCCACTGCACTCAAGTGTGAAAGCCGCAGGCAGATTTTAATGGAGCAAAAAGAGCAGCAATGTTTCGACCTTCACAGAGGTTTTTGTCAAGCTTGACAAAGACCTCTGTGAAGGTCGAAACGTTGCTGCTCTTTCTGCTCCATTAAAATCTGCCTGCGACTTTCACACTTGAGTGCCTGGATATTTCTTTTTTGATCTGTCCTGGTGGTGACATGTGTATCTGTGTGTTTGCTAGGAATGCAGTGTGTGCCTGTGTGTTGTGGGGATGAAGTGTGCCTGTGGGTGTGCTAAGGATGCAGTGTGTGTGTGTGTGTGTGTGTGTGTGTGTGCTAGAGATGCAGAGTGTGTGTGTGCTGGGAATGTAGTGTATATGTGTGTGTGTTGGGAATGTAATTTGTGTGTTTGTGTGTGTGTGTGCTGTGGATGGTGTGTGTGTCTGTGTGTGTTAGGGATTGTTAGGGATGCTGTGTGTGTGTGTGTGTGCTGAGGATGGAGTGTGTCTATGTGTGCTGGAGATGGAGTGTGTCTACGTGTGTCTGCTAGGGTTGGAGTGTGTCTGTGTGTTTGCTAGGGATGCAGTGTGTGTGTGTGTGTGTGCTGGGGATGGAGTGTCTGTGTGTGGTAGGGATGCAGTATCTGTGTGTGTGTGCTGGGAATTGAGTGTGTCTGTGTGTGTGCTGGGGATGTAGTGTGTCTCTGTGTGCTGTGGATATATTGCCAACCCTGCCAATAAACTCTGAAAGCTATCCTGTCATCTCCCCTGGCTCCTCATACTTGGAGCTGTGTCCAGCCTGCTGCTCCTTGTCAGCCAGTATCACTAAGCAACAGTTGGTAGCAACTGCTGCAGTCAGCCTGTGGCCCCTGGCTGGGCCATGGCCATGCAGAAGCAGAAGAAAGCTAGATGCATGGGGAGGAAGCTGAGTCCCCGAAGAGGAGGAGGAAAGTTCCTCTGTTGCACACCATCTTCCCCATCCCTCCTTGACTAAGTGTGAGTGAGCTTATGACAAGGGGTTTCAGCTGCACACAAGGAGAGCGCTGTGTCGAAAAGTGCCACCCCAAAAAAGTGCAGCCCAGAGCAGATTATCCCACCGTCTCACCCCAAATTACGACACTGCAAAATGCCACCCCTGTCAAAGTGTCTCCTGGTGCCATGGTCCCAACGGGACTTATGGACTGGCCAGCCTATGGATGGACCAGTCCTGATCTTTACATAGGGGGTTCAATGCTCTCCAGCAATCCACCAGACGCAGCTCCTTCAATGCCCTCCTGATTACTTTGAGTCCTGTCTGTGCTATGCTGCTATGTCCAGTTGAGAAGTCAAGCTTTTGGTAAAGGGGGGACAACTGGAATCTTCACCTACCACCATTGTTAAAGGTTTTGCACTGGAACTGTGGTTGTTTCCGGTTAGGTGCATATATTGAGACCCCTCTATATCCTTCTAAAAATATCTACCTGCCCTCTGGATCTCTTTCACAATCCCTCTCATGAAATTGTACTTGAGCAGCAAGCAGAATAACAACCCCTGCCTTCTTAGCACCTTGGGTGTTGCCAAAATATCCTGTAAGATACATTTTGCTTCGCACTGTAGGCGGGGAGCCTTCCTTAAAATGTGTCTTTTGTAAGAGTGCCAGTGACTGTGATACATAGTTGCTTCAATAAGTGTGATCTGCAGTTCAGAATGTTAAAATCCACACAGTTAAGGGAGTAAAGAGTGAGTGTAGTGGGTCAATAGGCCATAATCTATGTCACTCGATTTCTGGATGAGCGACAGCGGCAACCTAACCACTGAGCAGGAACCAAGAGGTGAGGAGTGAAGGAGTGGGTCCGCTGGCTCTCCTCCCCCCTCATTCCTGCTGTCCATTGCAAATGAGAGGGATTGGGGAAGCCTAGGAGATTGGGGTATAGAAAAGAAAGCAAAGATTGCTGAAGAGAAGACTGGTTAATGTAGGCAGCAGTGAGATTCTCACAGATTTAAGATTCCCATACATCCCCAAGAGTCCCCGGATCAGGGTTTCCCTCTTTATGAGTCACAAACCCCCAATATAGGCGAGTCCTACACTCATTTTAGCATGGGAGATAAGCATGCTAACTGCTATACTTACTGCTTAAACGGCTTCAAGAGATTCTCCTCAAATGTATGCTTTCCTACAAGGTAGTTAAGTATTGCACACAGATATATCTGTACACTGTAGTTCTGTGGTAGAGGATCACTGGCCCCAAATTATGGTTTTCTAGCTCTTTTAGTTGTCTAATTAAAAAAATACTAAAACATTTTGATTTGTCAACAAAAGACAGATACATAGTTGGTATAAGATTCAGTCTTATTTTTCTGTTTCCATGCCCTATGAATCAATAATAGGATGCAATTCTAATTTTAATGCCAAACCTAGACATCGCTCTGCTTGTGCATGTACACAACCCCAGTTTTCCGTAAATGACTGGGTCCATTGGGTTAACACTTGGTACCTTTACTTGTTGGCAGTGATATCCGATCCCTTCAATTCCTATAAAGATACTATCAACTGATACTTTGTTCCAGTGTTTGTCCCTCACACCTTTTAAACCCTTTTCTGTAATAAAAGCAGTGGCCACAGCACAGTTTAGTCTTTGGAAATGACAGAATACTAGCAGACAGAAGGTGATGCTTGGAAAGGGTGAGTAATTTTGTGCAGGAATTAAATCTACAGACTCACAGCTGCCAAATAAAGACATCATTGTGCTCTATACTCTGCCATTTTTTTTTTAATTTCTCTTTTTCTGACCTCCTCTTTTTTTACCTCTATTTTCTTTCTCCCTCCCATCCCTACTCTTTTTCTTTGCCTCTTGTCCTCCTCCTTCAATCTCCCTCTCCCTTATTCCACCCCCCTAGCTCCCCACAACCCCCCTGTTCATCTGTCTTCCCCACCCTCATTCCCTGGATCCCAGAGAACTCCAAGATTTGCTCACAGGGATCTGGACTCAATAGAGAGAGTGAGGGAGGGAGGAGAGAGCAAGAGAGGGAGGGAGGAAAAAGACCAAAATATTTCTTTGGGAATAAAGCCCACCTGTATTCAGCCGGCAGAAGCCGTGTCAGGCTCCCCATACAGGTAAGAGGTTTGTCTCCTGTCATTCTGTCATACCCTTATAGACCTTAGTACAGAATAAAGTACATCTATTAATCTTATGACTGAACTTTTCTTTGAAACTCTCCTGCATGTTTTACTGCATCCCAAGTGGACAAGCCTTATAGAAAATACCTCCCCTGAACCCTGTGATTCACGTTTGTAAATCTGTACACAAGACAATCACTGTTGTGCTTTGTGCACCCCTTAATTACAGCAAATGTACGTATCTTACACTGTCATTCACAAATAATTGGGAATTCTCAATAAATTATCAATAACTATTACTGAACGTTTTAGGGTTAAATACTTAGAAATGATGATTATATTTAAACAAAAAAAAAGCAGCTCAGAAATGCAATAGCAAAACTAATGTTTAGCAGGTTCTAAATTATTCTTTCTATATTAACTTTTGTGCTAAACTTTTTTTTCCGACATTCTGGGGCTAACATAGAAAAACAGCATCATGAGTAACACTATAATCACTTTTGAAATTGTTTGAGTGCCTTGTTTAACTTTATGCACTTAACCCCTTAAGGACTAAACTTCTGGAATAAAAGGGAATCATGACATGTCACACATGTCATGTGTCCTTAAGGGGTTAAACAGCTACATGGAAATAGTAAGAGCATCATTGCAGCTCTGAAGCAGTATGAGAGATGTGTGTGTGTTGCAAATCATAGTTAAAGGTGTGGCAATTGTGTTTTTCCTTGTTCCACTTTTTCAAGGACTATGTTGCTAAGACAGTTTATTTCGAACCCAGAACAAGGCTGATTTTCTATTTATTTTTTATTTTTTTTACATTTTTGAACATAGGAAGTTCAACATTTCCTCGTCACTGAATATGGATGAGCTAAATCCCCCAAAAACAGTCTGTATATTTTATGAGATGGGTATAAGGGCAGAGAGGGAGCAATAGCAATATAACATATGGATACATATGGATACATGGAAGGAGGCAGGGGGAGTCCAAGCACACAGCCAATAAATATATGCAGATGTCTTAATTATGACTGTGCTACCTGTATGAATTTTAATTATCTGCATGCTACACTGCATTGGTGACATATTCAAAATACCCTCTGCCTCAAACATTCACACCTACCCTGTGTTTTCATAAATGCATTAAACCTCTTAAAATTAAAATAGACAGTAATGCACATTTTCCCATAGTAAAGTATTGGAACCACAAATGATCCAGGCAAAGCATTCCACCTACCTATGGATAAGGACTTTTTTTTAAAAAGCCTACTATGACAAATTGCTGGTTCTATTAGTTGCAACTTGCAAGCCCCTAATTCTCAACACATCATTGTCAGTAGTGTAGTAGTTTAAGTTACTCATGGCACAGACTGAATAGTTAATTATTGAACAATGATTACTATAGATTCATAATTAACAGCAAAATTGAGGCCAATGAGATAAATCAGTGGCCTAATGTATCATAAGTATAATATGTTCCACCTCTATGTGTTACAGGTTCAAATCCTGTCAGAGTGGACTCAGCCCTTTATTCTTCCAAGGTAGATAACATGAGTACCATTAAGTTGGCTAATAGCAACATCCCCAAGATGTACTTGTAAACCAGAGTAATCACAATGTACCTTTCCTATTTGACATACATTATTATTTCCATTTACTGCATACAACAAATTCACAGTTCTAAAATTTAGATTTACAGTGTATTTATGTAACACACATCATGGTTGTCTATATTTTGTGCTAGATATAGCTCAGGCATCTCCATATTGTGCCCCACAGATACTGGAAGCACTTTGAGCATGATGGGAGTTGAAACTGACAATAGGTAACTGCGTGAATTTGATTGTACCTGTTTACTATATAGCTTTGCTTAGATTAATATTAATTTGCTCAGTTACTTCAGTTCCAAACAGCATTAGGTTGTGTTAACTCAATATAGACAATACATGTGGCACTGTTTTAGTCTGTTTTAGTCAGGTTTCGATTTAAATTCCATTGGTTTTTGATACAGCATATTATGGGTCTGCCTGCTAGATTTATATGTAATTCTCAACCCCAACACCCCCACCTCTGGTGTCTGCTTCGTCACTTTTCTCAGTATTGTGTCTGGAAATATTTGTGTAAAAAAAGCTCAGGGGAGTCAGATAAAGAGTTTCCATGGAAACCAATCAAAACTCCAGTTTGCCAAATCGTGAATACTATTAGGACAGGCTTACAGAGGGACCATGCACAGACCATGGAGAACAGAACGAGAGATAAATGGAAGGATAAACAGAAAGGGAACAGTAGTTGCGAAATAGTAAAGACAGGTTGTACTAGTTGTAGGTTATTATAGAAAGCAGTGAGTAATAGAATGGTGAAAACAAAATGTAATTGTGTATTAGGATGAAGATCAGAACAAGAATATACACAAAGAGATTGGAAGTAGCACAGCCATAGCCCTTAGGCAATAAACTAGTAGAACAAATGCTCAAAAACATGCTGAAATAGAATCCTATTTTTTTTTAAACAAAATTATTATGAGTAGACTAAAGATACCGTGACAAAAAAAAATAAGGCCCACTGTGCGTCAATAGGCCACGTGTTTCCTAGATATCTAAAATATGCATGTTGCGTAATACACATGATCACTGCTAATTTAGTCCTCGAAACAAAAGAACACATTTGATCTATTATAGAAAGAGGGAACAAATCAGCAGAATTTAAACTTATCTCTGTATTGTTGCTGTTTCTCTAAAGTACATTGGATGTTGAAGCACATATTTATGATACATTACATGGAGACTAATGCGTTATCATTAATTGTACTCATTTGCCTCAAATTTTTCAATCCGAAAACATGGATTTTAACAAGCAAGCAATGTTATTACTATTGAATATGCATCTGTGCTCTTAAATATCATATAGAGCAGAGTAAGTGATGAGAACCGCACCCAATCCCAGCGGCCAAGGGTGCTCCAGAGCAGGACCAGCAATCCTAGTACAATAATCCAAGAGGAAAAAACTCACAGGCACTCCAACTTCAAGCCGCAGGCAGATTTATTATGACAGAATGCAACGCAACGTTTCGACCGGAAAGGTCTTTTTTCCTCTTAAATATCATATAAACAAAGTGCCCAGGAGTGTGAAGATCAAATTGCTATGTCTCATTAAACAGGATTGACTTAGAATGGAATCTGAAGAGGTAGATTAAGGACATTTGCCACCCACCTACCCTGAGCTCCCTTAGAGCAGTTCAGGATGAGAAAATGAACAGAACCAGAATCATCTGATTGGAATGTAAAAAAGATGAAAATGCCAAAAAATCTGGAACTCCCCAGCTGTGTATAAAATACTGTGTTCAGCTGTTAGAACAACTGGGAGGAGAAGAGATTTTGGTTGAGGAAGGCAACTCCTAATAGCTAACTTACCTCACCAGCCAATGAGTAATCATTGGCTTTAATATTCAATAATGTCAGCACTGAGTATGCACAGGAAAGAATGACATTTGCAATTTATTGCTGTCTATGTTTAATGGATTGGCTCATGCTGACATATGCCATGTACTTAAAAGAAAAAAGAACATACATATTCATTATGTAAAATCAAAGTTGACACATAATATAGGTTATGTGGGCATAATATTGTAAACCATTCATATAAGTAAATAACCGACTTGTGCATTCGGTTTCAAATTAATTTTGTTTCATCCATATTTTGGGCGATAGGCGGATCATCTGAACTCCGTAACTCTCTCATTTACCATATGACCAGATCACAAATCAAACAAAACGGACAGTGGACAGCCATTTCTTTTGATTTGCGATTCAGAGTTCCGTCTTTGGCGATAAAATAAGAGATGATTGATTTAAAAAAAAATATGGTTGATGGTTTGGGAATAGCCACTAAATGTTGATGTTAATCACAGACCAAAAAAGTGATTGATAGAGGGAAAAAGAAGGAGCAGTACAAAAATCTATATTTCTGTATTATATATTTAATAAATACAGATTCTCTTTTTAATGCTCAATTTATTTTCTCTCTACTGGTTACTTCTTCTAACTTAATCTGTAAATCAAATGGTGGGAAAATGTGCCTATCAGTGTACTGCAAAATAATGTAATTTTGACCACGCCCACTAAACTTTATTTTTTTTTAAACAATCGATTCGGCCCGCACTGAATTCTTGCACTGTGCAAAAGTCTCATGAATAACATAATCTCCTGGCCTACCATAGCTCAGTTGGGGCAGACACCTTTAAGTCTTTGGCCAGAACCACAATTTACCTAAACAAAAAAACAAAGGCAATACAGATTATAAAAGTTACTGCAAATTCACACATCTTGGTGTCATGGAAGTGGCAGAAATGTATTCTGATATGATGTGAGTCTTTCAAATTGCAGATTGTCTTGGCAGATAGGTGTTGCTTTTGATCAAAGTGATTTAATAATTGCTGACCTCATGGACCATAGACCATTAGGCGCCCTGTGTTAAAAATTTTCACTGTTCCCCCCCCCAATCTTCACTGGTCATACACCCTCATCCATGTATGTGTGTGTATAGGGGTGTAGTGTTTTTATAGGGGATTTATTAAATTTATAATGACTTAAAAAATATTAATTCCCCGTTCCCTGTTACCTCTCTGGTGTTCCAGTGTGCTGGGAATTTGATTTGTACCCTTCACCGGGTGCAGACTATGAGTAACTGTCTTGTTAGCTCAGGCATTTACAGTGTCAAGGCTTTCCTCTGGTAATCCGCAGCAACGCACTGATTGGAAGACAGCTACTTATAGTCTGCAGACAATGGAAGTGCAGGCCAGAGGTATCAGACTGCCTCCCATGCATTACAGAGTGGCAGACTAAGTATGTCACTTAATACTGTGATACACAGTTACAGGCAGACAGTCACACACTCACTCAGTTACAGACAGAAAGTCACACACACACTCAGTTGCAGGCATACAGTCACACACACAGAGTTACAAGCAGACAGTCACACACACTCAGTTACAGGCACACAGTCACACACAGTTACCGGCAGACAGACAGTCACACACACTCAGTTACAGACAGACACACACACATACTCAGTTACAGACAGACAGTCACACACAGGTACAGGCAGACAGTCACAAATACAGTTGAAGTCACACACAGGCAAAGTCTCACTGAGAGAGGCCTTCCTGTCAGTCCGGCCAGGTACAGAAAACGAAAGCTTCTGTACCGTGATCCGCTCCTCTGGGCCACGCTACTAGAGAGGTAGGAGGCACACCAGGAAGGGGAGGGGACCACTATGGGGGTGAGGGAGGGGAGAGGGGCTGGGGAGGGGAGAGGGGCTGGATCTGAAAGACACACAGCAGGGCTTAAGAAGCGGAAAAAGAGACACTACAGAGTGGCTGGGAGGGACAGATGGGCTGGGGTGAAAGAGACACAAAGGAGCTGGGAAGAGCAAAAGACACACAGGTTCTGGGAGAGGAGTCACACAAAGGGGCTTGGAGGAGTAAGACACACAAAATGTGGGAGGATGTAAGAGTAATACAAAGAGGGGAGATAAGAGACACAGGGGGGTTGTAAGAGATACACAAGGGAGGTGTAAGACACACAATGGAAAAAAATAGGAGATAATATACATTTAAAAGAAGGGATAAGAAACACAAAAAGGAGGTTAAGAGGCACACAGGTGAAGATGTTATTTTGAGGGGCGTGGGTGGAGAGGGGAGGAAAAATGCCTCTTCGGCTATGTACCCAAAAATCCTTGCCCCGGCCCTGCACTCACACTTTTACCTCTTTCCATTATGGAAGGTAAGTGGAGTGGAAGCAATGCAGCTCTTGTAGATTAGTTGTTGGGAAACATGTTTAGCTCCTTCTGCACACCTGTCACCTGGCCACTTCTGAGCTGTGTCAGCCGCATGGCGCCCCCTGCTCTATGGCACCCCGTACGGCCGCACAGCTTGCACACCCCTAAGGCTGGCCCTGCCCATAAAGCAATGGTAAGATGCACTGAAAATAATATGATATGAGAGAATGCAAATTTTTTTATATTGAAATATTTTTTAAATATTACATAGTTTTGATATTTTACTATTTTGAGAAAAATCTTTTTAAAAGTTACCAAAAATGTTAAATTGAGGCTATAATCAGTTAATAAATATGAAACTCTGCATTTTTAAAACTGATTTTTATTTTTTCTTAAAGGAAACAAAACTATAATCCTAACACTATATTGTGTCTCTGCCTTTGCTGCACTCCCCCCATCTCGTCCCTTCCCCCTCCCCCATAGCCAAGTAAGTTTTTTTCACTTACCTGATTCCAGCACCGATGTTCCTTGATGCTGAATTGGGATCTTCCTCCCGCAACATCACAGTGATCCAAGAACCTTATGCGTGTTTGTAACTGTATTCCTAACGCTATAGTGTCCTTCTGTCCTAAGGTTATTGACCTACTCCCTTTGGTGTTAACAGGATTAAAAAACCCTTTTAACACTTAACTATTTCTAGTGCCGAGGTCCTTCCAAAGTTGGCAATGTGGAGAAAACTAATGTGCACATGCCTTGAGCCTTCACCATAGGAAAGTATTACATCAATGCTTTCCTGTGGAGTTTTCTAAGATGCTGGGCGTCCTCATGCAAAGCATATTTCTTTTTTGTCAATGTAAATCCAGTGCTTGGATAAAGTAGATCTAACTCCCTACTAATGATGGCTGCTCCTTCATCTTCCATCCAATAGTGCACATATAGGAAAGAGAAAATATCTTCCTGATCGGGAAGAAACCCACTAGAGGTGAATTTAACCCTGTAATGTAAACATTGCAGTTTCTAAAAAAACTACAATATTTTAGATTATAGGTGTTAAAACGACAGGACCACTGCATCCAGACCACTTAATTGAGATGAAGTGGTTTTGTGTGAACTTAGTGGTCTTTTAAAGAGCCCCAGAAGGACGATTTATGGGTGGGTATATGGGAGGTTGCTAGGAAAGTCTCGATCAGTGATAACCTACAGGAACAAATGTTTCAAATGTACACCACCTCTGGTAAATAGTTTTATATGGGCAGAACCCCAGAAGACCTCTGTTAACAGACATGTGAGCTTAAGGGCATGTTTTGTGCATACATGTGTCTGGTGGGTGGACTTGTCCTGTGGTGGTCCAATATTCGCACTTACTGTCTCTGCTATATCACCTTTCAAACTGTATCCATGCTCCTTAGAGGGCCTGTTTATTCATCACCAAAAGCTATTTAATAAAAAAAAACATAGGGTATTGTCATGCACAGTATATCATTGCACTCCGTGACTTCTTCAGTCCTTGAGGTCAAAGCCAAAAATGCTGCGAATTGCCTCAAGGGCAGGCTTACAGCACTTGCACATAACCCCTCCCCTCCTTTGAAAAGATTTTGTCTTGGGATGATTTTACTGTTTAAGTGCTTTGTCCTCCGTGGCTTGTTTTCTTGTGGGTTTTTTTCTCGCTCTCTTTTTTGACATTTGGTGTATCCATGTTTTTAACCTTTACACTTATGTTGTGATTAAATAAAGAATTTAAAAAACAAAACAAAACTGGAGATTTCAATAGAAATTGGCATTTTCATAATATCTAGGATACACCATCCCAGCGCAGAAGTATGATTGCTATACATGCACCCTCCATTGTAATGCTTCTACGAGAAGTATTCCATTGTGAGTGGAGCCTCGCTGCAGAGAGTGGACCATCTCATTGCTGGATTAGAGGTGAACTAATTATTTATTCTACAGTGGAAAGGGAGGGGGCAGTGATCTAAAAGGGTAAGGTATTTATACACAACGTTAGAGTGTTCCTTCAAACAAGATGCAATCTATAAATTCTTCCGAATTAATGCATCAGTATGTGTTAAATAGATCAAAATAAACTAGAAACGTTTGGAAAAGATAAGCTGACAGCAGTTGTAAAAACTAAGTTTTTATTTTGTTTGATCTACAGCAGCAGATAATGAAAATGTAGTGTCAGTCTATTTTAATAAGCTTACTTAGAATGGCAAAAATTTCAAAGCAAATCAATGCACACTGAAGTGGTTTTTTTTTTGTGGTCATGTATGAATGTTTACATCTTGTCTGAGGGATAGTATAAGCACCAAAACAACATTAGCTTTATAAAGCAGTTTTGGTGTATGTATCATGCCCTTGCCACCTAACTGCTCAATTCTTATAATTTAATAGTTAAATCACCGTTTATGCAAATCTAGCCTTGCCTCCTTGCATGTGACCTGCACAGTCTCCCTATACACTTTGCTCACTGCTTTCATGTTTAAACTTTCTATATTGTACATTCTGTTTAATTTAGAAATACTTGTCTCCTTTTCTGTTGATAGCCTGCTAGAGCCTTCAGGAGCATCCTGTGTGTGATTAACGTTCAATTTGCAGAGCAGGAAAATAAAGGACAGGAGACAAGAACATCTTAAGTAAACACATTGGGCTGTCACACCTGAAAATAAAATCAGTTTGCATAGATGATATGGGAGTCTCAGCCAGGGAAGGTGTAGTTAGTGCAGCACAAACAGAAACAACAGTGATTTAACTCCTTAAGCATGATCTATACACTAAAACTGCATCACTAAGCTAAAGTTGTTTTGGTGCTGAGTGTCTATTTAGTGAATATTGCATCAAATTCAGGGTACTTGTTCTAAATCATGCCTAGTATGGTATATAGTCCTGAAATATTCTGATCTACCAGATACCAAACAGCTTTAATGCAAATATGAGGGGAACAAAATTTATCATACATAAAGCATTAACAATTGTTTCACTGTAAATGGTAAGGTTCAGAGAGTATCCTGTTTTCTTGTATCCTTTTCTCAAGTATTTTACAACCACTGCAATTTGTAAACATTGTTGCAGCTATAACACTGCCCTTGGATCCGTAGATCAAACTTTACTTCTTACTTATCATTGCAACTTGAGATGTTCGGAAAGCCTTGTTCATAAAACTGTAAATCAAGTTATAAATAGGCTGATAGTAGTATGGCTGCTATCAGTTAATCAGTTCCACTATCCCTTAGACCAGTGATGGCGAACCTTTTTGAGCCCGAGTGCCCAAACCGTAATACATGCCAATTTTTTTTTCTCAAAGGGCCAAAACGGCAATTAAACCTGAATACTAAAGTTTAAGTTTATAAAAAACAACTCATACAGTTGTACGAACTAATTAACATCTCTGTGTGTGTATTAAGCAGTTTGTGTGTGTGCTCGGCAGTCTGTCTGTATGTGTATTAAGCAGTCTGTCTGTATGTGTCTTAAGCAGTCTGTCTGTATGTGTATTTAGCAGTCTGTCTGTGTACTTAGCAGTCTGTCTGTATTTAGCAGACTGCTGAATACACACACAGACTGCTAAATACACACACACACACACACACACAGACTGCCGAGTACACACACACACACAGACTGCTGGGTACACACACAGACTGCTAAATACACACACACATAGACTGCTAAATACACACACATAGACTGCTGAGTACACACACACAGAGACTGCTGAGTACACACACAGACTGCTGAGTACACACACACACACAGACTGCTGAGTACACACACACAGACTGCTGAGTACACACACACACAGCTAAGTACACACACAGCTGAGTACACACACACACAGACTGCTGAGTACACAGACTGCTAAATACACACACACAGACTGCTGAGTACACACACACACACAGAGACTGCTAAATACACACACACAGACTGCTGAGCACACACACACACACACACAGACTGCTGAGCACACACACACAGAGACTGCTGAGTACACACACAGACTGCTGAGTACACACACACACACAGACTGCTGAGTACACACACACAGACTGCTGAGTACACACACAGACTGCTGAGTACACACACACACAGAATGCTAAACACTCACACAGACTGCTGAGTACACACACACAGACTGCTGAATACACACACACACACACACACACAGACTGCTGAGTACACACACACACACACACATACTGATGTGGGGTGGTGTGTGTGTGGGGGTGGTGGTGTGGGGGTGTGTGCGTGTGGGGTGGTGTGTGTGTTTGTGTGGGGTGATATGTGTAGGGCAGGGGTGCTGTGTGTATGTCATCCCCCTTTCCCCCTCCCACACTGTTTTCTCCCCCCCCACTATTTTCTTTTCCCCCATCCCTCCCTCATTTTTCCCCCCATCCCTCCCTCAGTTTTCTTCCCCCCCATCTCTCCCTCAGTTTTCTCCCCCCATACCTCCCTCACTTCTCCCCTCCCATCTCTCCCTCAGTTTTCATCCCCCCCCTCCTTGATCTCCTACCTTGTAGCGTGGCCGAGCGCACCGCGGAGCTCAGTTTCCTGTACCCGGCCGGACAGGAAGTGCTCTCTCTGTGAGCACTTCATTTCCGTCCGCCCGGGTACAGGAAACATAAGCGCACCCTCCCTCCAGCGACCTGTGGCCGCGTGCCCATAGAGGGGGCTCGGCGTGCCACCTGTGGCACGCGTGCCATAGGTTCGCCATCACTGCCTTAGACCTCTGCTGGAAAGGCATTCATGGCATAAAGAAAATCCTTTGCCCAAAATAAGAGGCTTTTGATTGATGGAGACTCCTCTGGGATCTAGGAGGCATGTAGTGCTTGACAAAACTATGTATTAAAAATGGAGGTAACGTCATGCTACTTTGGTCTATCAATGAGCAACATACCACGGTCTTAAAGGGACACTGTAGGCACCCAGACCACTTCAGCTAATTGAAGTAGTCTGGGTGCTGTGACCCTTTTACCAGACAGCCACTGGAGGGCTTCAGGAATCTAAACTGACTTTTGGTCCATTATCTGACGCTGGAGGTCCTCTTGGACCTCCAGCGTCAGATTTTCCCCATAGGAAAGCATTGACTAGGTCTCCCAATGGCTGACGGCGGGGGAGGAGCATGGGCCGAGGGACATTGGCGCTGGGTTCAGGTAAGTGGCTGAATCCACACAGGAGGTGGGCCCCGAGGGATTGAGGCTTTGTTTTCCTGGCACTATAGGGTCCCTTTAATAAGATTTCCAAGTGTATGTTTTTCTTCAGCTTCAGTGGCACTATTGCGTCATAGCTATTTATTTGAAAAGTTAATCACAGAATATTCCATGGCCAGTTAAGTTATGTAAAAAACAAAAAGAAACAGCCTGTTCCTTAAAAAATGCTTTAATGTACACTGTTAAATAAAATATTTGGTTAATACTTATTTTTTGTTTCTTCCTTCATTTTTTGCTTGAAGAAGGTGACTATGAGAGCCTGGATAGTTCTACTATTACCCTTCATCCTGGTTTTGGTAATCGAGGTAAATGCTCAACGGCGTAGGCCTAAGCCAACTGTAGTACGTCCAACAAAGAGACCAACCCCCCTTCCACCAGAACCTGCTGAACCCACTGATCTACCCCCTCCACTTCCTCCAGGACCTCCATCTGTGTTTCCTGATTGCCCACGAGAATGTTACTGCCCCGCTGACTTCCCTACTTCTATATATTGTGATAGTCGCAACCTGCGCAAAGTGCCAATATTACCTTCCCGCACTAGGTATGTCTATCTGCAAAATAATTTCATTAATGACCTGCAAGAAGATTCCTTCAAAAATGCCACTGAGCTGCAATGGATCAACTTGGACAATAACAAAATTAAGAAAATTGAGAAGAAAATCCTAGAGAAATTAGACAACCTTACTTACTTGTATATGGAGAAAAATCAACTGAAGGAGATACCATCTTATCTGCCTCCTAAATTGGAGCAGCTCCGTCTCAGCCGTAATCAGATCTCCAAGATACCCTCTGGTGTCTTCAGTAAGATGGATCACCTGATTTTGCTGGATTTGCACAACAACAAGCTAAGTGATGGGGTATTTAACAAGAATACATTTAAGGGCTTAAAGAACCTCATTCAGCTGAATCTTGCTCACAACATTCTGCGAAAAATGCCTCCAACAGTTCCAGAGAGTGTTAATCAGCTGTTTCTAGACAGGAATAACATTGAAGACATTCCCAGTGGCTATTTTAAGGAGCTTCCCAACCTGGTCTTCCTACGGTTAAATTACAATCAACTGTCAGAAAAAGGGATACCCAAAAACACTTTCAACATCTCCAGTCTCCTGGTATTGCAGCTCTCCCACAACAAACTTAGTGTGGTCCCACCAATTAACGCTAATCTAGAGCATCTTTACCTGAATGATAACATCATTGAAAGTAAGTTGCATTTGCAGGTTTTTCCACTTTAATTTCTATTCTAGTTACAAATAGTTTTTCTAAGCAGAACCCCTTTTAAGTGACCTTTCACAGTCATACTCTTAAGATCTTAAATGTAATTGTCTAATTAACCCACTCTTCCTTTTACACATACCATTGTCAAAAAATTAAATGTTTCTGCAAATAGGGTTATCTCTTCCAATACACAGAGAAAAGATTCAGGGAGATAGGATTTCCCAAACACATCCTGGGAGTAAAGCCAAACTATGAATGGTGTTATAATTAAATAATAGCAATAACACAAGTATAAAAGGAGTAATAGATGCCGTGCCAAAAGATTACAGGAAATCTTTCTATGAATGTAATTTGTCATAGCAGGTGGGATTTTACTACGTGTTCGGTTAGGAAACTATGACGAAGGTCTGCAGGTGAATGCTTGCATAGCCTTATCCAATGTTGCCGTGAGTACCTGTGTTAGTTATCTAAGTATTATTGTTTGCTTTCAGTATTAACAGAATAAAGCTGTTGGTGCAGTTAGAAAATTAGAAAAGTTGAAAAGGGCTTAGGATTCACAAATTTTAGTTTGTGAATTTGGAATATTTAAAGATCTAGCAGTAATAGATATCTGATAGTAATGAAGGTCAGGCAAATATAGTCTAAATTGCTTTTGTATGGCCAAACAAAAAACCCTACAGAAGAATCAACAATTCTCAGTTACTTGTGATAGATATTGAACATTGCCTATAGAGATACATTTCTTCAATGTATCTCTATGAGGAGATGCTGATTAGCCAGGGTGGCGTTTAGCTCCCCATCCGGCCCCGGCCTGCTTGGCTGAAATTTTTAGAATTGACAATCTTCTAATGGAAATCATTTTGATTGGCTGAGGCCATCACTTCTGATGATGTCAGCTAAGGAGGCAGATCGGGGGCAGAGCCAGCACCAGTGGACTGGAACAAATGTAAGATGTAACTATATTTAGTTGGGCCAGTGGGGCTATATAGTGTTTTTTTTTTTTTTAAATATAAATATCAGCCGATCAAGTTGTACAATGCTGACATAGACATGGAAGTCTAAATAATGTATTATCAATGCAGCTAAGGAAGGATGGTTTACAAATACACATACAATCAGATGACAACTTACAAGGTTCAAATTTACTGATATCCTCAGCTGTAGTGGTATGTTGCTTCTTCTGGACCTTTAACATTTTCCAGCATTTTTATGGGTAATGCCATTTGTAATACACTAATAGCAGTATAAATACAGTCTAACTAGAAGTCCAATTTGCCATTTTTAGCAACATGGGTTTGATAGACTTACATTCATGAAATAAATTCAGACAATATCCACAGACTGAATATACACCATCAAATAAAACTATATTAATGGAGTCTAACATCCAACCAGATTGAATATACATTTGTTCAAAATCTTCCATTATAGTTTCCTACTGTGTATTTTCCATTGCATTCATCCATATGAATGTAAAACATATGTCAGAATGTTTGCATATGAACATTCTCTGAGTGAACGTGTCAGATGTTCGTGTTGTGATCAATGTGATGAAACTTGCAGCAGTCCCTTTTACTAATTACTGTTAGGAGGCAAGGAAGATAAAATTAGATAAAGATTGATAAAAACAGTAGAAATACAGCTTTTATAGAATTCTGAACCTGCCTTGAAAAAAAATATTTATTCTTTTTAAATCATATAAATAAAGGCAGGGTTTCCTTCCATTTAGTAGTAAAATATGTTTTGTCCCACAACTTAAAGCCATTATTTCTTAGCATCAAGCAAGAACAATACACCTACACTAAAATGATCCAGGTTTCCATCTGTCTAGCCAAATATCCGCAAGGATTATCACCTTCCTAAAATTAAAAGACAAAGATCAGCATAAGTTTCCATGCATTTGTAAGGAATCAGAAAAAAAAATTATATTCTTTGAGATTTGTACAAATAAAAATAGGTGTAACCAGTAAAAAAAAAAAAAGTATAAGACTCGGTTGCTAGGATCTGCCAAGCCTTGTTCTCCAAAATGTGTAAAGCTGCACGCTACTTTTTGTAACAGTATTCTTGTTGTCCACTTCAATATGCGTTTTGTTTTGTTTTCTTCCTGTAACAATACATCAAATGTGGCTTTAAATGTCATAGCCCATTAAGTCGAAATTCCAGTTACGGGTACAACAAGAGAAGAGAGTAAGCGCTAATTAACAATTGGCAACCCTAAAAAAGGGGGAATCCCTCACAACCCTTTTAAAATACAGAAAGAGTGATAAAAGAGAAGTAAGGCTGTGCCAAAGTCCTATAGCAATATATAATCCAATATAAAAAGTCCAAATATAAGTGAAAGAGTCTAAATAGAATGATCTTACTCAGATAATGAATAAAGTGCTTGATCGAGTGTAATATCCTCACTATCTTTATCCGGGAAGATCCACTGATATGAAAGAAAATAAATAAGAGGAACTAAGTAGTGTAATATTTACAGTCCATTATATTCGTTATGTGGAAGAGATAGTAATAAACTCACATTTGTTAGAGTTATAGCTAGCTCTAGTGTGAAGGGCGCACAGTGGTATAATCCTCGCTTATCGGATATGCAGTATGCTTCTTCCGTCAGGGGTATGTTCAACACTCAGGAGAAGGGTAAAAAGAGACAACTAATAGTGCTCACTGAATAAAACAGCAGTAATAAGATAAATAAAATAGTACTCACAAGCGAAGAGTAGGCTAACTGCTCTTTGATGACAGCGTTGGTGGTAAGATCCCCACCTAGGATTTCTTGGAGTACAGGATGTTTAAAACGCCAGGTTAAAAATAAAATCAATAGAAAGTGTATTAAAAGAATATTGGCACAAGTATTAGAAATACATTGAGTTACTTTAGAAGGTGCAGCGGGGTCAGTAGTTTTACAGACTATACAAAATTAACATTTACAGAAAATTTTAGTTTGGGGAAAGAAAGATAGAGTTTGTTTATTTGAGGCTTCCCTAGGAAAATTTGTGGTTAAAATTGATTGAAAAATTACCATATTTGGGTGTTCGGGTATGATTTGGCTAAGTGTTTCAACCCTAAATCCCTTTCCTCAGATGTTGAGGTCAGATGTTGAGGTTAGGACGCAATCAAATATTCTATACTCTGCCCTTGGGTTTTTACATCCGAGATGCATTATCTTGCACTTATCCACAATAAATGTCAGTTGCCATAACTCTGACCATTTTTCTAGTTTACCTAAATCATTTGCCATTTGGCTTATGCCTCCTGGAACATCACCCCTGTTACATATCTTGGTATCATCAGCAAAAAGACATACCTTACCATCAAGACCTTCTGCAATAATCACTAATAAAAATATTAAAGAGAATGGGTCCAAGTACAGATCCCCACTGGTGGCAAGCCCATGCTTCAAATATACTCCATTGACAGCCCTCTGTTGCCTGTCACTCAGCCACTGCTTTACCCATTCAACAATATTGGAATCCAAACTTAAAGATTGCAGTTTATTGATAAGCCTTCTATGTGCAACAGTGTAAAAAGCCTTACTAAAATCTAGGTAAGCAATGTCTACTGCACCACCCTGATCTATTATTTTAGTTACCCAATCAAAAAAAATCAATAAGATTAGTTTGGCATGATCTCCCTGAAGTAAACCCATGTTGTCTGTGATCTTGAAATTCATGTGATTTTAGATGTTTAACAATCCTATCCTTTAACATGGTTTCCATTACTTTCCCCACTACTGAAGTAAGTCTTACTAGCCTATAGTTGCCCTCTTGTGAATGGGCACAACATTCTCTAACTTTCAATCTTCTGGGACTACACCTATTTTTTTACTGCCTGTGCTATTTTCTCTTCTGTGTGTGATTTGGTAGCTCTTATAAGTTGCTTAGCCTCTTTCTGCCTAATCTTATCGATAATTCTGTCTTTGTCGTTCTGTTTTTTTTTTATAATTAGTAAATGCTAACTTTTAGTTTTTTACTATTTTGGCCACATCTGTGGAGTACCACAGTGGTTTCTTGAATTTTTTGCTTTTACTAACAACACTAATGCAATTTTCTGTTGCCTTCAGCAGTGCAACTTTTAAAAAATCCCATTTCTCTTGGACTCCATTTAAATTGTTTCACTCTGATAATGACTCCTTTACACATATTCTAATTTTAGAAAAGTCTGTTTTTTAAAGTCTAAAACTTGTTTTTGTGTGGTGTGACTCAGTCACTGTTCTTATATTAAACCACACTGACTGATGATCACTGGATCCAAAAATTTTACCCTAGAGAAATATCTGATACCAAATCTCAATTTGTTAACACTAAATCTAGTATGGCCTCTTTACAAGTTGGCTCCTCAACGACTTGTTTTAAAGACAATCCCAGTAGGGAGTTTAGAATATGTGTGCTCCTGGCACAAGCAACTATTTTGGTTTTCCAATTCACATCAGGAAGATTAAAGTCACCCATGATGATAACTTCCCCCTTCATTGTCATTTTAGATATTCCCTCAACTAGTAGATTATCTAACTCTTCTATTTGTCCTTGGGGCCTATAAAATCACACATACACGCAGGGCAGGCACTTCCTATAAGGCGAACTAGGCAGCCGCCTAGGGTGCCAAATAGGAGGGGCCGCCCTGCGCCCCCATTGCCAGCCCTTTAAATGATGCAGCTGCCTGAGCGCTCTATAGAGAGCCTCAGGTGGCTGCAGCACTGCCTCTCTTCTCACCTCCCCTTCCTGTAGCGTGGCCGAGCTCCTCTTCGGTCCGCAGTCCCGGCCGGACTGATAGGAAGTGCACACTCAGTGTGTACTTCCTGTCAGTGCGTCCGGGTACAGGAAACAGAAACTCCTGTACCACGGACCACAGAGGAGCTCGGCCACCCACGCTACACGATGGAAGGGGAGGTGAGTAGAACACAGGGAGGGTGGAAAAGAAGAACCGGGGGAGGGGAGGGAGTAAGAAGAAGAGGGGAGGGGAGTAAGGGAGGGGGGAGTAAGAAGAAGAGGGGAGGGGGGAGTAAGAAGAAGAGGGAGGGAGGGGAAGAAGAAGGGGAGTAAGAAAAGAAAACAGTAAGTAGAAGAGGAGAGGGAGAGGGAAGAAGAGGAGAGGGGAAAGAAAGAAGGGGGAGGGGGAGTAAGAAGAAGGGAGGTGGTAAGAAGAAGGGGAGGGAGGAAGAGAAGGGAAGCTAAGAAAGGGAAAGGGAAGTAGAAAGAAGAAGGGGGAGGGGGGGAGTAAGAAGAAAGGAGGTGGAGTAAGAAGAAAGAGGGGGAGGGAGTAAGAAGAAGAGGGAGTGGGGAGTAAAGAACAGGGAGGGGGAGTAAGAAGAACACAGGGAGGGGAGTAAGAAGAACGGGGAGTAAAAAGAACACAGGGAGCGGGAGTAAGAAGAAAACAGGGAGGGGGTGGGGAGAAGGGGAGATGAGAACACAGGGGGGAGTGAGAAGAACACAAGGGGGTGGAGTGAGAAGAACACAAGGAGGGCGGGTAAGGAGAAGGGGAGGTGGGGAGAACACAGGGAGGGTAGGGGGCAGAGAAGAACACAGGGAGGGAGGGCGTGGGTGTGAGAAGAACACAGGGAGGGTGGGTGGGTGTGAGAAGAGACCACTAGGGAAAGGTGGGTGGGGAAAGACCACTAAGGTGCAGGGGAGAGCTCTAAGGGACAGAAGGAAGAGCTCTATAGGACAGGGGGCAGGACAGGGAGCTCTTTCACACTACGCGCACACACACACACACACACACACGCACACAAAGCATCCCTATACATACACAGAAGCACACAATGGTTCCCTTACACACAGAGAAACACACAATGCATCCATTACACACACACACAATGCAACCCTTACACACAAAGACAATGCATCCTTTGCACACATACACAGAAACACACAATGCAAACCCTTACACACACACTGCTTTTCTTACATACACACAGAAACACAATGCATCACTAACACACACTCAATGCACACACTTACAGACACACACCTTGTACCCCTTATGCATACAAACACAGATTCACACAATGCATCCCTTACACACAACCAGAAACACACAATACATCCCTTATACACAAACACACACTGCTTCCACTACACACAAACACACTGCATCACCTACACAAACTGGTATCCCTATACACTACATTCCATAAACATACACATTAGATCCTCTACAATAACACATAACACATCACCTACACACTCCACTCCCTGTCAGTGAACTCATGAGTGGAACATATAGGTGGACTTATGGGTGGGCCTTATGGGCATACTCACCATCAGGCCCTTTCTCCCAGAACATTGAATTTTGTGACCACAGTTACAAACAGCTTCCAGAGATCCTGTTCTACACCAAACCAGTGGAGCCAAACTGCAGCCAGAGCCCATCACCATCCTCATCTGGTTGTAAGTAGGCAATCTAGTATATTATTAGTGACACTAATCTCTAATTTACCTCACATTAAAGGGACACTATAGTCCCCAGAACCACTGCAGCTTAATGAAGTGGTTCCGGTGTCTATAGCCTGTCCCTGCAGGCTTTTTAATGTAAACACACACTGTGTGCAGCACTGGCGTTAGTTTTTTATTATTATTATTATTATTATTATCATTTATATAGCGCCAACAGATTCCGTAGCGCTTTACAATATTTTGAGAGGGGGGATGTACCAATGAATAGGACAATTACAAGACAACTTACAGGAACAATAGGTTGAAGAGGACCCTGCTCAAATGAGCTTACAGACTATAGGAGGCGGGGTATTAGAAACATTAGGACAAGAAATATCAAGTAGGAGTGAGGCAGAGCTGGAGGAGAGAGCAAAGCACTGTCCCATAGGAGAGAGCAGGAGACAGGTATGTAAGGTAGAGATTACTCTGGGAGGCCATAAGCTTTCCTGAAGAGATGGGTTTTAAGGCTCTTCTTAAATGATTGAAGACTAGGGGATGGCTGATGGCAGTAGGCAAGCTATTCCATAGGAGAGGAGCCACCCGCGAGAGGTCCTGCAAGCGCGAGTTGGCCGTACGGGTGCGAGCAGCGGTGAGGAGGTGGTCACGGGCAGAGCGGAGGGTACGAGGAGGGGCATATCTATGGATTAGTGAAGAGATATAAGCGGGGCTAGAATTGTTTATATGACAGATCATATGGGTGGGGCATTGTGATGTCACATGGGGGGAGTGGGCAGACATTTTTTCTTTTGCCTAGGGCGGCAAAAATCCTTGCACTGGCCCTGGATACAATATGGGTTTTAATGTACCTTTAAATGTGTTAAATACTAGAGGAAATAATTGAGCAATTCAATATTGCCATTATTCTGCCATACCCGCTTGAAACTTGCACTAATGCACACCCTACACAGACATGCACTTACACACATACACATAAATGCATGCACTCAGACATTTACACACTGCTAGTTTGGAAGTTGTATGATTGGGGGCACTTGAGAATTCTGTTCCTACAGGTGATTGTGATGTAAATTCGGCCACATAAACCTAGAGTAGTGAGTTACACAAATGTTCAACCATTGTACGGAACTTGTTGGCTTTTTATAAATTATTATAATATTCAATTTTTTATATACTGGTTGAGAATAGGAGAACCCAACGTGCAGTATAGGCAAAGGAGGAATTAGAGAAGAAAGTTTTTGAAAAATTGGTATAATGGTAAAAATGGGGAGAATCATAACAGAAGTCAGAAGTATTACAGTATTTTGAGAAAACGTAGGGAGAATGGTGAGGTCTTTGTCTTGGAACATCTAACTAAAGACTTTCAACTGGACACCAAAGATTCCAAAATATCAGATATTTAAATTAATGATAGCACCAAGATATGCTGGGAAGCTTTCACATCTTGCACATTTTAAATTAAAAAAAACATTTTCATACAATTTTTATGTTTGCCCTCTATGGAAGTTCTAAGTTTTTATGAAGGAAATTTAATCTAGCAGACAGTTATTGCATGAGAAGCAGTTAAGGCACTAGCATTTAAGGATCCTTGGCTCGAAGCATTTACGACACTCAAGGCAGAATTAATATACCTTACAATATAATGCACCACCAGAATGATAATGAAGTGTTGGTGATTAAAGGAAAAGCCTTCACTCTATATGTAGGAGCATTAAATTTCTTCAGTCACAGATCTACTTCCAGCCAGCTTACTGGTCTGTGCCCTGGCTGGAAAACATGCAGATAAAACTCTCACATACTTTGTCACAGCAGAGATGTTATCATCCATAGCAATTTACTAAAAAGCCACAAATGTTATATAGTATGCTGCCAAACAATGTAACTTTAAAAAAAGGAAATCTATGTTCAAGAAATAAGAGGCATTAACGTAGATCAGGGATAGGCAACCTTTGGCACTCCACATGTTGTGGACTACATCCCCCCTAATGCTCTTACACACATAATGCTGGCAAAGCATCAAGGGAGGTGTAGTCCAAAATATCTGGAGTGCCGAAAGGTTGACTATGCCCGAATTAGATATACTGTACTTTGCTTAAATTCTTTCTGGTGCATGTAGCTGCAATCTTTTAATTTTCTTGGATAGAGGACTGGATTTCCCAATAGGCAGAGTAGGCACCTATCCTGCAAGGGGCACTTATAAAGTGTAATTTTGGAGATTAGTTGGGCTTGTGAAGGGAGATACGCATAAGGAACCTTGGCCAGTGTCCTCTGTAGTCCAGTCAGACTCTAAAGCTTGATAGAAGAGCTGCAGGGACATGTATCGAGGGATTAAAACTCAGTGCTGTCCCAGCTCCTCCAGTGTCCTTCTCTGAGGCTAGACAGGAAGTGGAAGGAATCACTTCCCATTTGCCCACCAACAGCCTCTAACACAGGAAATGCTTTGCAGGGGGAACAGTGATGCAAACACAGTGGTTCCCAAACTTTTTAGGTTCAAGGCACCCTTAGTATTTCAATTTTTTTCTAATGCAGCCCAAGTCAAAAAAAATTCTAGGTTATATTTATGTACAGCGCTGTGGCAAATGCTGGGCCCCTGTTCGGCAGAAATGCTTGCCGTTCAGGCACAGACAGAGAGCCTAATCTTGGGAGTGGCATTGATAGATTATTTAAAGAAACAATCCAGGCACAATAACCACTACATTACATTGTAGTGGTTATGGTGCCAGTAGTGCCGTCGTGCCCTCCCAGGGTAAGTAACTTACTTGGGGTCTGCCTGGTTAGGGGCTGTAGTGTGTGTGGTACAGGGGTGTATTGTGTTTGTCAAGAATGTAGTGTGTTTGTGTGTGAGGGGTGCAGTGTGTGTGTATGTGGGGCAATTTGTGCACGAGGGGTACAGTGTGTGTGTGAGGGGTAAAGTGTGTGTGTTGGGGGGCAGGTTTTGTGAGGGGTACAGTGTGTGGTTGTATGGGAGGGCAATGTGTATGGGAGGGCAATGTGTATGTATTGGGGGGGCAGTGTGTGTATATAGGGATAATTGTTTGTATGGGGAGGAGTATGTGTCCATGGGTGAGTAGTGTGTGTGTATGGGGGGGAGGTATTGTGTGGTGTGAGGTCTGTGGGAGTAGGAGGGAAAATTAATAAATATATACTTTCTTTCTTTTTTTTAATTAAAAATAAAAATGATATCCCTCCTCCCTGCTTACCTTTGACTGGGAAGGGGGATATTTCTTGCAATCCCTGGTGGTCCGGTGGAGAAGCTCTGGCAGTCTTAGTGGTGACAGTGAACTCTAGCAGACTCAAAAGCTGCTAGAGTTCACTCACACGAAATTTGGAGCATTGCTGTGGTAATCGCGACAACGCTCCAAGCGCGCGAGACGAGAACTTGGCAGAGCTGCATGTTAGAGCTCCCCCCGGGTCCTCTCTCTCTCATTTCCTGCCGGCTGTCAGCAAAGTGCTATCGGGCCAGAGAGGGAGATCTCTGATCTCCCCTCTGGTCCTGAAGAGCCAATAGGGGAGAGTGAGGCACAGTGAAGCAAATATCTCACGGCACCCCTGTGTGACCCGGGGCACTGCGGCACACAGTTTGGGAACCACTGGTATAACAGCTCTTGCAGTTCGTCTATCTATATTAGAAGGGTGATTCTACAAAGATCCAGTGTAGCGGAGATACAATATTCCCCAGGTTATCTCCGCTTAAGATCCCAGTGAGGCTCAGGAACAAGTAAATTATAAATCCACAGGCAAAGTTTCCAGCAGGCAAAATAATCCAATAGTATCCCCACAGCAATCCCAATGACCAGATGACACACAGCATCAGGAGCAGAACTGACAACCTTTATTCCACAGTGCCTTATATAGCATGCTCCCATGCAAGGGAGGGATTTCCATTCATTAATACAGTAGCCAATCCTGTCCCGGTAACCTCCCACACATCTCCTCCCCTCAGCCGGCATCATAATCCCCTTATCCAGTACAGCAATTCCCCCTGTTTCTGGATGTACCCCTGAACCTAAGGGTACCACTTTAAATTATACATCCCCTGGTAGCCCTGATCTGGGTGAACAACATATCCAAAAATCACCCAGATCAGACCAGGGGTTCGGGAATTTCCTGGAGGGAATAAAATGACCGACTGTGCTGGATGAACTAGCCGAATTGATCTCCATGCGATTGGGCCCTGCGGTCGGTCCTGGAAAAGGCGAATGAAGTACCTGAAAGCCTCCAGCTATAGAGGCTTGGGAGGGTTTGCCTGAATACCCTCGTTCGGTTGATTATGCCTACCGAACGAGGGGCCGTTCGGTAGTTTGGAACCGAACGGACCGGGCTGATGGAGGTCTCAGCGGTGTTCGCCTAGTCGAGTGTCTGTTTTGAGTTCCAGACACTCAACGGCAAAACACCGCTGTTCGGGAGGTTAAGGACGGCCGCCGCCAAGTGTTCGTTTCTCGAATGGCGGCCACCCCTGAGAACAAAGGATTGCTACACAGCTTGTCAATTACCCGTTCGCAACAATGTTGCAACGGTAATTGAAGGCACACTTCACACAGGGGAGGTCTGACTGTTCGGTAGTTTCATTCGCACAAACTAAGGGGATGAAACTACCTAACATTCAGACGAATCCAATACATTTTACACATAGAACTTAGCTATTTTACACGAATGCATTCCCTTACTGCATAGACATTTAGCAAATAGACGAATACAGGTTACACATAATTCAAGTCCCAGGGCAGCTCATGGCCATACGCTACATACAGTGATACCTGTATCCTAAGCAACCCCTTTTTCCCTAACCCTAAATTTAACTTCTCGCAAAATCTAAATAATATATTTCCTTAGTCCCAAATTTAAGCACTCAAGGCCTAAACCTAAAAAAAAACACACACAAAAAAAAAAAACCTAAAAGTCTAGATTTAAGTGGTTAGTCCAGTCACTGTGGCTACTTCTGCTTTTACAAATGGTCAATGTGGTAGGAGTCTGTATGTGCAGCGTTTCTGTTTGAAATGCTGAATATACTGAGATACTTGCAGTTTTGTGCCAAAGGCTATTTGCATCCCCTGCACACATGACTTACCTCTGTTCCGATCTGCCAAATGTCAATTCTGCAAAAATTACATCTGCCATCAGTGCGTGCTAGGGGAAGTTTTTCCTTGCTGGGAGACTGTCATAAAAGGCTGAGTTTGGCCATCAATAAATCAGATCGTTTTACCCCTTCCTGAAGTCGCGACTCATGTTTGGGGGAATTGGGAGCTATAATCACTACTTCGTTATTATTCTACTGGGAGTTCGGGAGAAGCTGCAAGGATCGGTACTACATAGATAACAGGATCCTTCACAGATGTCATGTATGAAGTCAAATAGGGAGTGGAAATGAGGGAAGAGGACTTCACCCAGCATTTTTTATTTATTAAATAAGGGGCTAGACATGTTCAATAGTGCCCAATCTGGCATAATAAAGAGAAAAATTTACCGTATGAGAAACAAGTTATAATAACCCTTTTACTCCTCTTAATAATTAAAAACACCATGTATCCATTCCAATACTAAATTAAACCCCACTAAAACCCTAAATCCACTCTATACCCCCTCAGAAGTTTTTAAACTTCTTAATACCTTTTGTAAATTTACTCTGACATTATCCACCCTCTTTAAAATTAAATCTCCCTATCAGTGGCGTACCTGGTGCAAAACTGATCCGTGCCCCCACCCCCGATCCGTGCCCCCCCCAGACATATGCATACAGACACACACTCATACACACAGACACATACAGAGACACACATACAGACACACACACACACATACAGATACATACAGACAGATACACACACACATACACCCCCCGACAGACACATACATACAGACAGACACACACACCCCCGACAGACATACACACAGACACATACATACACACACATACATACAAATACAAAAAGAAAAGTCCTGTGCTCACTCCCATCACAACTGGGCGGCAGCAACGACCACAGTACACATCAGCTCAATACATATAGTAAAAACCAAAGGAAAAAAGTTACCTGCACTCTCTCCTTAATCCCTATGTATATTTAAACAAATGGAGGTCATTTAGTTACTCCAATAGCCACTAGAGGGAATGCCCGCCTGCCAACGTCAAGGTAGACCCCCCCTAGACTGGTCCTACTCTGACCTTGCTTCCTTGAGTCTACATACAGTCTGCATGTATGGGTCTGTATGTGTGTGTGTGTGTATGTGTGCGTCTCTGTATGTATGTGTCTGTATGTGTGTGTGTGTGTGTGTGTCTCTGTATGTATGTGTCTGTATGATACAGACACATACATACAGAGACACACACATACAGACACAAGTACACACACAGACTGACACACACATACACAAAATGTTTAAGTCACCCTCCTGTTTCCTACCTTTGGCAGGAGAGTGACTTTCCCTGAGGTCCAGTGGTGGCTCTGGCTGGTGGGAGTCTGAGTTCTGACTCGGACTCCCTCCTCCTTCCTCCCACACAGCTCTCTGACAGCTGGGAGGAGTGACCAGTGCACTCACTTCCTCCCAGCTCTTTCTGATGTTATCACGGGGGCCCCGTCGCGCTGTTAAAGCAACGCAGTGCTGACCGAGCCCCCTGAAAATCCATATCCATCGGGTGGCCCTAACAGCATGGGCCACCCGATGGACCGCTTCATGTTTGTTTGCCGCGCGGGCCAGGGCCACAAAACATGGCGGTGGGTACCCCTGGAGTGACGGGTCCGGTCGCAGCTGCGACCCCTGCGACCGGGGTATGTACGCTAGTGCTCCCTATCCACTTATACCAATTTTTTTTAACCTTGCATGTATTTATACAGTTGCATGCACTCACTATATTTACATATTCAAACACAATACATTACAGAAATAGGTACATTTATACATATGCAGTTGTCCAATTTGAATATGTTTTTTAGACTTTTAGATTTTGTTTTTGCCTGCAATGCCCAGTTTTTACATTCATTAAACTCATTAATAATTTTTTTGGGGTGGGGGCACTTTAAAATTCTCTACAGGCACATGACATGTAATTCTGGCCATGCTTGGAAAATTGTTTATTTTCGTTAAACTTCTACATAAACTTACAACTGTACTTAAAAATTCCCAGGTCTCTGCCCCCCCACCCCACCTTTTATAAGAGAGAGAGAGACAAAGATCTGGTGCTAATACATGGCTTCTTATGCCACATGCATCAGATCATTTGTGGAACAAAGGGGAGTTTCCAAGTTGCATGATAAAGTTGTGTGATAAACAGACATCCCAAATCCCCAGGAGCCTCTGGGAGACTCCCACATTTTAAATGTGGCTTCCTGACTCCTGCAAATCATATATAATATCCCGTAAATCACACACACATTGTGTCAGATTGTGTGTGTGATTTCCGGGATATTGTACTATTTAGCATGATACTTGCTAAATAATACTTTCTAAACTAGCTAAACAGGGAGCCGGTCGAGTGACGACCCTTTAAGAGCTGACCTGGTCCCTGTGATATCAGACGGCAGGGAAGAAATGCTAAGTGCTGCCACCCTGCTTCAAAGAGAGCTGTGAGGGAGGAGAAGGTTGGAGGATGCATGGAGGCAGAGAAGAGCAGCAGCTCACTCCCATCAGCAACTGCCCTCCTGGACACAAAGGTAAGCTAACTGGAGAGCTGCTGCAAATATATAAAGTATGAAATGTATGTGTGTAAGATTGTGTGTATGTCAGGATGTGCATCTGTATGTCAGTGTGTATCTGAGTGTATGTGCCAGTTTTAGTGTATCTGAGTTTATGTAAGTGTGTGAATCTGTGTGTCGGTGTGTGTATCTGAGTGTATGTGGCAGTTGTAATGGATCACCTGGCACCCCAACTGGGTACCTCCGTTGATGGATGCTCCTAGTGCTTCCCAAAGACTCCAAGCACTTCTCTTGACACCATCAGCACTGCAGACCAAACCTCTCTTCCTGCAGAGAGCAAAGCTGGAACAAGCTCTTATAAGAGCTTAGTGATTATAGCCAAGGGAGTATACAGCGTATAGCAATCCCCAGTGTAGATGCAGCCTTTCCCCCCCACACATGAGACGTGGCTCTATGTTGAGGGTAAACCAGGAACTCAGCAGTCTGAGGGTTTATTGTCTTATATGCAACTTTTCTCACAAGGTTACCACCCAGGTGGTCTTGTGGAATAGCCAATCAAACACAATACAATACAATCAGACACTCCCAGTCATGACACACAAACCCTCCCCTCTGCCTGTGATATACTAACTGTACACAATGGGTTACCTTAATTATCACAGGCAGGAACATATACACAGTTTTATACAATATTCATAACTTCCAAACCATACATGCAATTCACATATTCTGAACCAGCATAAGCAGAATACAAACATATGTCAAAATCATACAAATTGGTCCAGTGGTTCAAAATTAGATGGAAGTCCTATTTGACCGACTGCAAGCATGGCTTTCATGCCCAAAACAGTTCCACAGATTTAGGCTGTGCAGCCAGTCAATCTTCTCCTCTATCCTGGAGATAATTGGCTTAAGTAACTGTAGTAAACTCAATTATCTCCAGGTACAGAAAATATCACTAAGTTACAACTGCACCAAAACACATAAAAATACATAACTAATATTCTATAGAACTGAATCCCCACATTTGACCTATCCCCAAATACAGTTGCAAGAAAAAATATGTGAACCCTTTGGAATGATATGGATTTCTGCACAAATTGGTCATAAAATATGATCTGATGATCATCTAAGTCACAACAATAGACAATCATAGTCTGCTTAAACTAATAACACACAAAGAATGAAATGTTGCCATGTTTTTATTGAACACACCATGTTAACATTCACAGTGCAGGTGGAAAAAGTATGTGAACCCTTGGATTTAATAACTGGTTGAACCTCCTTTGGCAGCAATAACTTCAACCAAACGTTTCCTGTAGTTGCAGATCAGACGTGCACAATGGTCAGGAGTAATTCTTGACCATTCCTCTTTACAGAACTGTTTCAGTTCAGCAATATTCTTGGGATGTCTGGTGTGAATCGCTTTCTTAAGGTCATGCCACAGCATCTCAATCGGGTTGAGGTCAGGACTCTGACTGGGCCCCTTCAGAAGGCGTATTTTCTTCTGTTTAAGCCATTCTGTTGTTGATTTACTTCTATGCTTTGGGTCATTGTCCTAAGTGTCAAGGGGGCTAGGTAATTGGTCCCATGGCTGCTCTCTAACTACTTTTCACATCTAAACGACCAAGTGCATAGTACTTTAATTCTTTATATTCAAATATCTTGAATGTCTTTTAACACAATCTATTTTGTTTGTGTACTTGTGTCTATAGCTGATGTTAACAGAAGGGTTGATAAAATTGCCACTAAATTGGACCACTAAATAGTTTTTGCACCCCAGGCCACAATTTGCCAGCTGTCCCTTAGTGATACTAGTATTATTTATGCTCCATATATACATTGCAGTATGTTTGTTTCTTTAAGGTATGAACAATGGACACTACATGTATTGTGACTATATATATTTTTTAAGTTATTGATTGTGCTATGTTATGTTTTAGTTACAGTGCTTATTTCCATTTTATTTGATCTAACAAGGACTCATTAGTTGTGTTTTGTTTTGAACATGCCATCATGTCATGGGAAGTATTTTTGTTTTTTATTCTGTTCATGCACTAACACAATAATTAAATTAGTTGTTAGAAAAGTGTTTTCAATTACTTTGAAAAGTAATTTTTGTGTTGGTTTTGCTTAGTCTCTGAGGTTTTGGTTAATGTGTCTATTATTTCTTCTTTTTATCAAAATAGTGATCTCAAATACCTTAGCTTGTAATGTAAGGTGCAGGGCTCTTTTTTAGTGATCTGATATTGGTAAAGAAATTGTGATCAGCAACAATATTAATACCACCTGCCTAATAGCATGTAGTTCCCCCTTGTGCTACCAAAACAGCTGTGCAATTTTGGGCACCTGTTCTAAAGAAAGATATCATGGCACAAGGAAAAGTGCAGACGAGCCACAAAATTGATAAAAGGAATGGAGCATTTTAGTTACGAAGAAAGATTAAAAAATTTAGATCTGGGGGGGCGGAGCTTGCGGCCAACGAGGGTAGACGCCATCTCAGCCAGCTCCCCGCAACTTGCTTGAAACCCATCGAAAATCGCGGACATCCTACCCCATCAAGCGACGCAACCCGGCTGACCTACCTCACAGAGAGTCCCTGCATCCGTCGATGCCGTTCTTCCAGATGCCCAGGCAGGCAAAAATAAAACGCAGGTCTGGGGCCTACTGCGCAACGCCAGCCTACAGCCTGGACGACCTACTCACGATCGGCAGAGTGGGATACAGCCTGCAACTCCCGGACACCTCATCCCCACATCAAACCCTAATGCCGGCAATGGGACGTCGGTCCCAAAAACCACACACAGCGGCAGAGTGCAGGGATATTGGCACCATGCTGCAACGACCGGCACAGGGCAAAACACCCTCCACAGAGGTACTGCAGCCCACACACATTGAAGCCACGAGGCAGAGTGATGAGGCAGGGGCCACACAAGACCTGCAGACAGATCAGGCCCCATTCCAAGAGCCCTATGATGGCACAGCTCCAACTACCAAAGCTGATTTAAAGGCACTGCTGGCAGACATACACAAGGTCTGGGCTGCAGACCTCCAGCAAATAAAAGGCAGTCACAGGCCTTTTATTTGCTGGACATACAGGCAGTCACAGGCCGAGTAACACAAGCGGAAACAAACATCAGCAGCATTAACTCTGACTTGACCACAATTAAAGACACAGTTACTCAGCTCCAAGTGCACCAATCAGCCTTGTCGCTCAGGCTGACTGCCTTTGAAGACAGACTACGCTGCAACCATGTTAAGATAAGGGGAGTCCCTGCTAACATTACTGCAGATGAACTACCACACTATGCTAGGCGATTGCTGGCGACCATCTTACCTCACCCAGTGACCAGGAAATTAACCAATGAGGGAACATTTCGACTACCAGGCTCACCCACGGCAAAACTAGGCCAAATGCGAGACGTCATACTCCGCTGTGCCACCGCTCAGGATAAAGCCCAGATTATGCTAGCCCTGAAGGGTAAAACACCACTGTCCTTTGAAGGCGCCTCTCTAATCTTCTACCAGGACCTCACATGAGCCACACTGCAATGGCGCAAATCACTGGCACCGATCACTTCCCAACTCAGAACGGCTGGGGTGACATACAGATGGGGCCCCCCTGGAAGGTTATATGCTACGCATAACTAGAAGCAGGGGCAGATATACCCTCTTTCCTTGCATCACTTGGCATAACAGGCCAGACCGTAAGAACACAAGACAAGCCATCCAAAGCCTGGGACCCAGCGAACACCAACCATATTCACACCGAGAGCCGCCACGTCAGGGGAAATGGAGCCTTAGCAGGACTGAACACTAAATACTTAAACGCAACTCGACAAGACAGCCAAACACTCCAACAAAGCCCCACTGTTTAAAATGTGTTTAATGTTTAGCATTAATGCTTCAGTTTATGTTTTTAAACCACACGACGTCTAGTCACGAAAACCCGAATTTGGGTTGATAATTACACGACCGAGATGGTGATTTCCCCCCCCCCCCATAATCCCCAACAAACACCCCCCTAAGGAGTGGGCGAACTACACAGTGGAGCGTATACACCCACACCCTCACTCTCTTCCCTACACTAGATATACACTAACCCTCAGGCACGGGACCTACCAACCCACCTGACGCTCACTAGGCAACCCTGATACCACACACCCTTGTAACCAGCTCAGTATAGAGCCTACTCAGTCAGATGCAAAACGTGACCTACTAACAGAGAAACAAAATACACAACACCCCCGAACCCTTAAGCGACAATCCACCCCCCCAAGGGATCACTATATGGTACCTACACAGGGCTCCTTCAGCCTCAACTAACTTAAGATGATGAAAAGCAAAATCCCCTCCTCTTGCGCCTATACCTTCTCAGACAAAATGCTAACCTACATGCAATCAAACTAGGCATACTTGTCTAACACATACAATCTATCTATAAGATGCAAATCTCATATAGGAGATTACTTAACTTAGCTTGTTCATACAACTCACTAAATGTAAAAATGTGCAAGTTTTAACGCATAAATTACCTATGTTCAAATAATAATGCGCTTGTGGAAGCTGTTGTTGCTATACAAGCACTGCTGTAAACCCATGCACAACAAAAATAAAGAATTATAAAAAAAAAAGAAATTAGATATGTTTAGTTTGGAAAAAAGGTGCCTGAGAGGGGATATGATAACATTATAGAAATATATTCAGGGCCAGTACAAACCATTATCTGAAAATCTATTCATAAACAGGGCTATACATAGGACACGAGCTCACGCATTTAGGCTGGAAGAAAAGAGATTTAATCTAAGGCAAACAGTAAGAGCAGTAAGGGTATGGAATTCTCTGCTGAAGAGGTGGTTTTGTCAGAGTCACTACAGATGTTTAAACTGAAATTGGATAAATACTTGCAAAAACATAACATACAGGGATATAATTTCTAATTAGTGGGGTAATAGCTGCTTGATCCAAGGAGACATCTGACTGCTATTTTGGGGTCAAGAAGGAATTTTTTCCTAGTTTGTTGCTAAATTGGAAGCGCTTCTTTTGCCTTCTTTTGGATCAACAGCAAAAACATATATGAGGAAGGGTGAACTTGATGGACACAAGTCTCTTTTCAGCTATGTAACTATGTAAGGCATGGACTCCACAAGACCTCTAAATCTGTCCTATGCTATGTGGCACCAAGACATTAGCAGCACATCCGTTAAATCCTGTAAATTGCAAGGTGGGACCTCCATGGATTAGATTTGTTGTTCCGGCACATCCCACATATGCTAAATCAGATTAAAATCTGGAGAGTTTTGAGGCCAACCATTCCTGGACAATTTTTGCAGTGTGGCAGGGTACATTATCCTGCTGAAAGGGAACACCATTGATATGAAGGGGTAAACGTGGGCTTCCATTATCTCTAGGTAGTTGGTACATGTCAAAGTAACATCTAGATGAATGCCAGGACCCAAGGTTTCCCAGCAGAACATTTCACAGAGCATAACACTGACGTACAGAGTCCCATATGCAGCAAACTGTGATGCACTGTGTTCTGACACCTTCTATCATGACCAGCATTAAGATTTTCAGCAATTTGAGCTATACAGGTGGTCCTCATGGTGCGACCTACCTGTTTTGCACGTCAAGGGATTCCCCATGTTACAGAGTTGGTCTATGTTCGGGGAATTTTCCCTGAACATAGAAAAACGCACCAGAGAAGGGAATCCATCTAATCTAGGTTTTCGGGGAACGTTCCCCTAACATAGATTTGATGGATTCCCTGCTCTGCTGCGCATGTCTATGTTTGGAGAAATTTCCCCAAACATAGACCTAAACTGGTGCCCATGATCCTCACTTACCGACCAATTTGTTTTACAATTGGATCATAAAAATGGAACCTGTTTGGTAAGTGAGGAGCATCTGTAGTACCTCTTCTGTGTGATCGGATAAGAAGGGCTAGCTTTTGCTCCTCATTTGCATCAATGAGCCTTGGGCATCCATGACTGTGACACTGGTTCACCAGCTGTCCTTTCTTGCACCACTTTTAGTAGGTACTAACCACCGCATACCAGAAACACCCCACAAGACTTTTTGTTTTGGACATGCTCTGACCCTTCGTCTCACCATCACTATTTGGTCTGGTCAAAGTCATTCTTTTCACTTTCCCATTTTTCCTGCTTCCAACACATGAAATTCAAAAACTGATTGTTCACTTTCTGCCTAATATATCCCACCTCTGACAGCTGTCATTGTAACAACATAATCAATATTATTCACTTCAATTGTCAGTGGTTTTAATGTTGTGGCTGATCAGTGTATAAGACTATTCGTCAGCTATGGGTGTCACTGCTGATGTTTCTTTTTAATTGTATAAGCTTTGATTTGTGTACAGATTTCCTTCTGATAATCTTTCGTTTTTTTTTTCCTCTGTAGAAATTAATGGTACCGAAATTTGCCCACTGCCATTCGCTCCATATGATTTCTCAGCTTCTGATTTCTCTTCTATGCCCCGACTGCGATATCTGAGACTAGATGGAAACCAGCTGAAACCCCCTATTCCACTGGATGTGATCATGTGCTTCCGGCTGCTGCAGTCTGTGGTCATCTGAGAAACCTATACACGATTAAATGAATATAAAGTGCAACACTAAAGCAAACACCTATTTGTACATTTAGACTGCTACACAAACACACCATACCCTGTTACACATAGTATTAAACCATGCTATACTAAACATACATTACACAAATGTACAGCAATACACACGGGAGAGCTGAACTTCCAGTCATGTTTTCCTGGACCTTTATACATTATGCAAGCTGTTGGGAGTTTCATGAATAGTACTCCCCAGCAGTATACAGTAATTGATTAATCATCATCATTTCGATGGGATCCCAACTGATTAAGTCACTAATTTCCAAGTGCATTCAAATTCTATATACTGCCGGGCAGCACTTTTCATGTACATCCCAAGAGAATGTGTAACTTACTATTGGCATACCTGCCAACTGGCTGCACATAGGGGCAGACAGGAAAAACTACCTGTAAAAAAGGTGGGTCTGCCTATACAGTAGGTAAGACTGCCCCTAAAGTGGGTGGTCAGACTAACTGACAGTCCATCCCTCTGAATAACTCTGTTTATGAGCCTAGTACCCTGCCCCCATATGAATCCTGAAATCTGCTTGGTAGACTGAACTGCTGAGCCGATTTGAGAATGCGGAACAGGTCCCTGGAACCAGGCCCCACCATCCGACAAACCAGGTAAATGCCCAGTGGGTCATGATGGCTATGAGTCAAGGCTAGCAGTAATGTAACTATGTAACTATGAACTAATGATCTCCCAGGCTGACCCATGCAGGCTTGATGCTTACCGAATACTGGCCCATAGTTTGGGCTCTGTAATGGTTGTGACCCAGGGAGCATATGGTAAGCACAACCCAGACGGTGCAGACCAACCACTCTGCTAGTGGATCAGATTGCTAACATGGGTGACATTGCAAATGTTATAATTCCTTCATTAGCAGAGACTGCAAGGAGCGATGAAAGTGGCTTACACTTGCCTGCAGATGCAGGACACCTGACCACCAGGGACCTGCATTCCTCCTCTCTGGACAATAGAGTCCCTATTCTCTTCACACACACTATAGCCCTAAACACACACACTACAACCCTATCTCCATAGACACACATGTACTACAACCCTATCACCCTTAAATCCACACACTGCAGCCCGTATCCCCTCTATCCTAATGGAAAGTATGAAATTGAGATACGGGCCTATAAGGGAATATCACCAGTGACATAACTTGCTTCACTTGGCATCACTTAGATGTGTGGCACACAGGGAAGAGGCACGTCAGCTTGGTGTCCAGCATGCCAGGCTGACCTACAGCCTTCCAGCCGGCCCCCTAAATACAGGACCATGTGCTAGAGAAGCACTTTAATGATGCGCAAAAATACACACACGTACTACAGCCCTGCTATCCCCAAAATACATGCACAAACACTACAGCCCATATCACCCCCTATCCCCACACACATAACAGCCCTTAAACACAAACATTACAACTCCTACCGACACACATTATAGTCACTATCCACACACACAATTTAGTCCCTATCCTCCCACCCAGACCACATACTAAAAACACATGCACATTCACTACAGCCACCATCCTCCCCTAGACACTCACACAATACAGCCCCTATCCCCACATATATTACAGCGCCAACCATCCTACACACACTGAAGCCCCTAGAGGTGGAATTAACCCTGAGAGGTAATTATTGCAGTGTCTCAGAAACTGCAATAATTACCACTGCAGGGTTAAGGGAAATGGAACATTCCACCCAAACCACTTCAAGGAGATGAAGTGGTCTGGGTGCCTACAGTGTCCCTGGAGGCATTTGTGGATCTGGAGGCATTTGTAAACTACTCAACCATCATTCTTGTGGAGTTTTATTATGATGTCTCCAAACTCATGGCATTATTTCCCCTATAATATCCAGTTCACTGTTCTGTATGTGTATTTACAGGATCCAGCACACTCACTCACTAAATACCTGACTTAAAAATAAAGGTTATTTAGTTACAGTATATAATTCAGCTACTATGGCCTTAAAGGGTTACTCCAACCATCTAAACCGTTTCAGTGATTTGAAGTGGTCGTGGTTATAGGAGCCTGAAGGTGTATTGTTTCTGTTTGAAACACTACACATTCAGAGATCTTTTTTATTTTCTGCCAGGGGCTATTTCCACTTCCAGAACACATAATTTAGGCAGCCTGGAACTCTGTTCCAGACTGCCTGAAATCAGTTCTGTGAATAAAATGCGTCCAATGTCAGCACTCACTGTAAGCTGGCAACAGAGATATTGAGCCTATAATTGGACCGCATGTGACTCCTGGTATATGATTTGACTGCGAGAGGCACCTGGCTGACGTCATTAGAAAGAGTGGAAGTCAGTGCCGAGAGATTTGCCAGGCACTTAATTCAGGTAAGTAATACATTTCTTTTGGAGGGTGGAGAGTAAACAGAGGTGGGGGGACCTTTTTCATATTACCCAATAGGTTCCCCCCTGCAAAAGGGTTGATGTAATCCTTTAAATGGGAAATGTACTTTTAATTCTCATGTCAGTAAATAACTCTGACAATGTTATCACAACACATTCTCTACAAAATTTACTTTAACTACTCATATCAGTACAATGCTTATAAATACAAATATCTAAAAAAAATCTGCTTTAGGCCTCTTTGAAGTATTATGTGTATTAGTGTCCTTAAAGGAACACTATAAGCACTATAACCACATTGTCTCATTGAAATGCTTATGGTGCGTAGAGTGCTCTGTTCAGTGCTAAACCATTTCTGAACATCGTAGAAATTAATGAGAACGAACAACCCAGCCTATCTCTACTTCTTGGTCCGATGCTTTTGGATTCACCAAATCAGCAATAGGTAACAGTGAATGGCTGAGAGCATTAACTGAGCGCTCTTTGCCTATCACTGCTGCCTCTTGCTGGTATAAGCTGATATGACTAAGGAGGAGTTTATCTTTGTCTTGCTGAATCCCCAGAGGGGGCTGTGCAGCCGGTACCTGGGGAACCTATTTTAGTATTAAACTCTTTGAATACAGTGAGTGGACAACAGGCAACTCAAGGCATACACATAGAGTCTCTTTAACCCCTTAAGGACCAAACTTCTGGAATAAAAGGGAATCATGACATGTCACACGTCATGTGTCCTTAAGGGGTTAAAGAAGAATGGTAATTACTGCATTATTAAAACACAATTTCTATATATTTCATTATGTTTTACTAATATATACATTATGTACATTGCTATATGAACATGCTACACTAGTTAAGTCTTGAGCACATGACTTTTTACCCTTAATATCTTGCTGCATGCTTACTCAGTAAATATTTAGACCTGAAAATTAGTATATGTTCATGCACAATATGTATAGGTGTAAATATATATTTATATCTATATACACAGGATGCTACTACTATACATTTGCTCTTGCTGGTATAGTTGCTGCAACTCACTGCTTAATGTGCTGCACATTCAGTTGAAGACAAAAGGGTTAAATGCTCATTATATTTTTGTTAATGATGTACACAACGTTTGAAGCTATGAGAGATTGCTGTATCGCAGCTCTCTGTGCTCTTTTGTTGTTCAAAATCTGTCTCTGCCATTTTAATGAAAGACAATTTTTGTTTTTGCATGCTGTCTCATTTGCCCTATCCCTCCCTCTACATTCCCCATCTACCAAGTTTCTCACATAATGTCGCTTGATTATCTTCCTAAAATAAATTGCATGGTTTTTATTTTGTTTCCATTATTTTTTTTTTCGTTTGACTTTACAAAACTAAAGAAAAGCAGTTGATTCCTAAAACAAAATACAATTGGGTTTTTGTAAGCAAAGCTGGAAAATTGTTAGCAAAGAATAAGTAAGTTCTTCATTATAATGGATTTAAAAACAAAATTCAAAACGTTGGCCTTATATCAGCTCTAGTAGTGGCAATGGGAAGACTAATTATACTTTTTATAAATACTAGTCTATGGAGACGTGGTTCTGTAGAATCCTAGGCATGTTTAAGTTTCCTAAAACTTGGGTAATCAGAAAAGGTTATGATAGAGGTCAAAACATTGTGACAAGTTAACTATTGGGAATGGATTGCCATCTTCTGGCTAAATGAGGTACTTAGGAGTTGTATATATGAGTGCTATTTTATTTTAGAATGCAGTGTGTTGTAGATACTTAAGGAGAAAAAAAAACAGAAAAATAAAGCTGTAGGATAAATATCAAGAAGTCTAAAGCTTAGAAGCATTAGACAGGACATAGCACTCTAAATACTTATAGGGGTATTCATATTCACTAAATGAGTCAACCAACATTTAGTCTTTTAGCCAAATAGACATCGCCTGTGAAGACTAGACCACTAAATGTGTCCACCCCTCTGGAAGGTATTAATTTAACAGTTTTTATATAGCACTTTTATCCAGAGGCACTTTACAATTTATGCAAAAATAACATTGGTAATTATACAAACAGGTAATAAATATATAGACAACACTGAAACAAAATGAGAAGAGCACACTGCAAGTGAGCTTACAATCTAGAGGGGAATTGTACATTGAAACAGAAGGTTGGTGGGATAAAATACAACTGTGACAACAGAAATATATCCATATCTGTGCCAATATACTGCTTAACAATTATTATGACCTACAGTCATAATGCATGGATGTGGAGAAAACAGAAAACAACAAGCGTACTTAAAGGGACACTATAGGCACAAAAACAATGTTACCTTAATGAAGCTATACATAAAGTTTTGATGTATAGATCATGTCCCTGCAGTTAATTTTCTGCCATTTAAGAGTTACATCATTTTATTAATACAGCCCTAGTCACAGTGTATGTGTGTCTGTCAAAGAGTATGTGGGTCTGAGTGTGTGTCAGTTTGTGTATCTGTGTGTCAAGGTTTGTGTATGTGTCACTGTGTGTATCTGAGTGTGTGTGTATGTGTGTATTGGTGTGTGTGTGTGTATGTGCCAGTGTATCTCAGTGTGTTTGTATGTGCCTATGTGTGTGTTTTTGTCAGTGTGTGTGTATCTGAGTGTGTGTCAGTGTGTGTATATGACTATGTGTGTATGTGTCAGTGTGTGTATCTGAGGGTGCAAGTGTGTGTATATGTCACTGTGTGTAACTGAGTGTCTGTATTTGTTAGTCAAAATCTGTGTATGTGTCACTGTGTGCATCTGAGTGTGTGTATGTGTATCTGAGTGTGAGTATCTGTGTGTCAAAGTGTGTTTGTCTGTATGTCAGTGTGTGCATCTGTGTGCCACTATGTGCCAGTGTGTGTGTATATGTGTGTCAGATACATACACACATCCAGGTACACACTGACACACAGATACACACACTGGCACAAACAAACACAGATACACACACTTTGACAGATAGATACACACACATTGACACACAGATACATGCACGCACACACACAGATACACACTGTGTGTCAAGGTGTGTGTATCATGTGTCTGTGTGTATCTGTGTGTCAGATTCATACACACTGACACACAGATACACACACTAGCACATACAAACACAGATACACACACCTTGACACACAGACACACACTGGCACATACAAAAAATAGCGCAGTTTAAAAAAACAAATTACCAGAGGGTTGAGGGGGGTTCCACAATGTTGGTACACTATGTCAAAGGGGAAATATTAATTGGGAACCCCTGATCTATACAACCAAACCACTTCATTAAGCAAACGTTGTTTTGATGCGTATTGTATCCCTTCAAGTAGAGTATAGAACAGAGACAAAGAGGTTGATAAAAAAGCATGAAGTCAGGTGGAGCCCTCGGTCAGAGATGTACAGAAATGGGGTGATGGCATTGAAGATTGTTTAATGTAGAATAGATTGACTTATTTGGGCCATATGCCCAGAATCATTTTGAATTTTTATAGAATAGTTTATGAGGACAGGAAGAAGACTGGTAGTGTCCACACTGCTGGGGCTCAGGGAATAATGGAAGGTTGATATGTTCAGATATGCTGAGGTGTGAATGTAATTAATGTGGGACTTCTATATTTCACATATATGGTAACAAGGATGCCAACGTGTTGGGTAAAACCTGTAAGCAAGTTCATTCACCAAAGTAAATTATCTCAAATTATTTAATCAGGAAATGTACCTTTCAAGTATATCTGGGTGCATGTATCTTATAATTGGTTTATTCAAAATACTGATATCAAAAGGATGAATAGACTGAGTTAACCTTACTGGCAACTGAAACATTTACATTGAGGTTTAGGTAATGACGAACCACTATGTAGCCATCCATTACAAAGGATTAAGCCACTATTGTCTGATGGCCACAGTTAAATTATAGTTTAGATTGAGAATCAGGAAGAGTGGTCAGTTGAAGACAAGAAACAAACAAGGATAAGACAATAGAGTAAATAAAATACACAATGCAACAGCTATAATGAATTTAGGAGACAGGGTTCAGGAACATATAGACTGGTAAAGTCCAAACTGAATCAGAGACATGGTTAAGGCATAACAAAATAAAAATGGAACAAAGAAGATGACGATGGAGACACAAGGTGAAACAACACCATGATCAAACATGAGGTAAAGAGTGGCAAGATGCCAGTAGGAGGCAGGTATTGTTAACAACACCTAGAAATACCTAGACCTTTTTAGTCCACAGCAGAAAGACACAGAGGGAGATTTATCAAAGTGTTTTGTTCTAAAATGTGTTGCAAAAAGAGGAAGAGTCACCAATGGAATGTTCCCGTTGGTTCCACTGGTTTCTCTGGTGTTTGCCCAACGTTTTGTACTATAGAACACTTCCTAGAAAATAAATCTTTTCCCCTAGTGTAGCCTAAGATGTGTGCTGTTTAATTAGTGCTGGAGGCTCCACTGCAAACTACCATAAAGGGAATGAAACCAAACACTAATTCATAAAGAAATAAAAAAAAGTCATACCTGCCTTTACATGTAAGGCTTATGTTTAACTATACAAAGCTTTATTTCCCGTAGTATTTTCAATGATTCTTTAGCAGAAATAAATGAAACCACCTGGATATGCGAGTTTGGATATGTATACAAACAATATATCAACCTATTTGCATTTAGTGTATTGCCAATTTAAATTGTTGTGCTGTTAGAACGGAACTTGAAAAATTAAATTAATAAAGATTAAAACTTCAGTGTCGAATTTCCTAGACATTTTACTATATCATATTCCATACCTATTGATCTAGAAAACCCAACAGGTAACACTTTATTTGACATCAAAGCCTTTGTTCACTTTGATTAGAGCTCATTGTTTATTTTACCCCTTGGTAAAGGCAATGTTTCAACCATGAAATGATTCTTTCTCAAGTCAAGGGATTCATACATAATGTAAGCAATTTAATGCATTTTATCTTGTCACAGCCACACTTAATCTGGCTGATTCTCCTGAATTTTGATGTAAAGTCTACCCCAACAATTCCTTAGGAACGTCGCCAATGCTAATGTATCTAATTTTATTGGATCTAGAGATCTTGAGAAATAGGTATCTTATGTTTATATACCAATCTTTTTTTAAAATTCTTTATTTTATTTGTGTAGTAACAGTAAACGTGCAGAGCCACAACAGCTGCTGCAAGCATAGTCGTAGCATTTCACATTGCGGCATTTCAAACAGCACCACCTGAGCGGTGGGTGGGGGCCCTAAACAAGAATAAGGAGGGGGACCTAATGTCTTCCCCCTGGCCCCGACGCCTGAGCGGTGGGTGGAAGCCCTAAACAAGAATAAGGGGGGGGGACCTATTGTCCTCCCCTCTGGCCTTCACCCCTGAGCGGTGGGTGGGGGCCCTAAAGAAGAATAAGGGGGGAACCTAATGTCCTCCTCCCTGGCCCCCACCCCTGAGCTGTGGGTGGAGGCCCTAATTGAAAATTTAACCCCCCTCCCCCCAGGTAACTAGGTGTCCACAAACCTCTAGTCACCCCCTCCCCAAAAAAATAAACCCCTACCTACCCCCCTCACCCTAAAAATAATGAGGGGGGACCTTTAACTAAGTACCTGTAAAAATAAACATAAACTTACCATTTGATGTTTTCTTTCTTCTAAAATCTTCTTTTTTTCAGCCCCAAAAAAGGCCAAATAAAAATCCATAATATTAATACATAATACATAATGTATTAGGGCCCCCACCCACCACTCAGGGGTGGGGGCCAGGGGGGAGGACATTAGGTCCCTCCCCTTATTTTTGTTTAGGGCCCCCACCCACCGCTCAGGGGTGGGGGCAAGGGTGGAAGACATTAGGTCCCCCCAATTTGTATTTAGGGCCCCCACCCACCGCTCAGGGGTGGGGGCCAGAGGGGAGGACATTAGGTACCCCCCTTATTCTAGTTTAGGGCCCCCACCCATCGCTCAGGGGTGGGGTCCAGGGGGGAGGACATTAGGTCCCCCCCTTATTCTTGTTTAGGGCCCCCAACCACCGCTCAGGGGTAGGGTCCATGGGGGAGGACATTAGGTCCCCCCCAATTTGTATTTAGGTCCCCCACCCACCACTCAGGAGTGGGAGCAAGGGGGGAGGACATTAGGTCCCCTCCCCTTATTCTTGTTTAGGGTCCCCACCCACCGCTCAGGGGTGGGGGCCAGGGGGGAGCACATTAGGTCCCCCCCCAATTTGTATTTAGGGCCTCCACCCACCGCTCACGGGTGGGGGCCAGGCTGGAGGGCATTAGGTTGTCCCCCCTTATTCTTGTTTAGGGCCCCCACCCACCACTCAGAGGTGGGGGCCAGGGGGGAGGACATTAGGTGTCCCCCCCAATTTTTATTTAGGGCCCCCACCCACCGCTCAGGGGTTGGGGCCGGGGCAATAGGTCCCCCCACTGTTTAATAGACATGACCCTACTCACGGTATAGCGAGTAGGGGCATAATTTACTAATACTAAGTAATCTTTACTTAGTATTAGTAAATTTGGGTGAAAGACTAATTTAGGTCCTTCAGCCTTTCAGTAGATAGCTCCCTAATACCGTGGGAATTAGGGAGTTATCTACTTATTCATTCCTGTCATTACATGACTGGCTAAGTAACTTACATTTTATATGAATGTATGTTATTTGATTGTTGTAAGTGTTGCAAATGCTTACAGCTGAATCCTGTCTATGTTTGTATACTTTTTATTTGAAACTGTATATAGTGTAACATTCTTCTTCTTTCACTGGGTAAGTATATTAGTACTTAGGCAATACTGTGCTTCGGAACTTCTGCACTTTGACACCTCGGAACTTCGGCACTTCAGCAATTCGGCACTTCGGCACTACTACACTTCGGAAATTCAGTAATTTTGGCACTTCGGGACTTCAGCAATTCAGCTATTATCCGAAATTCGGACGAATTTTAATTCGGACCGAAACTAATTGCACATGTCTAAGTTCCAGTATAGTTATTCAAGTTCCAGTATAGACAGCCTTACCATGTGTGACAATACTGACATTTTGATGATGTATACTTTCCAATTGTAATTTCTGTTGCTCTGTATACTAAACTAGTGCTGCCTTTCATGGTTTAACCATTATGTATCCACACTGCCTTTGATAGAGCATGCACAACCTGGCAGTACAGTAAGAGTGCCAAGTCTAGCAGCTGAGGTCATATATTTAATTTGAGTTAACTTGTGCCAAGTAGGCCGGCAGTGTTCCAGTTCTGCATTATTGTACTGCCAGTAAAGAACTATTTTGCTTGTTTCTACTTCTGGTCCATGTATGCATCCTTTATCTTTAATATTATGATTATTTACAAATCACCATTCATTTTTGCAGCGTTATACAATAGGTCCCTTAAAAGGTCGGAAATACATTTTCTCCTTCAAAGTAAATTGTTCCATTCTCCAGTTAAGTTTGCCTAGCTTATCCTTATTTTGTGATATGAGTGCCATCAGAAACACTGCCGTTCAGTAACAGCCAAGGGCAATGTTGATAATATTGACAGGTGTTAAGATGAAAACGTGATTGACAAATCTGTGTCTTTACTTGAACAAAGATCCAGCTTCCATATTCCAGTACCTTATTCCATTGGATTGAGCATCACATAAAATTTGTAAGCACATCTACATCAATAACTCTGATTTTTGAAAGTGTTCCGACACCATGTATTTGTATGAATTAAAAACTGGGCACAACATTATTAAAAAGCAGTACACAGTAAACTTGCTTTTTTTTTTCCTTCAGGCACAAAATATATACAGGTGGTGTTAAAACACTTACATATCTCACCTATTAGAAACAGATTTCAAATCTCATATCTGTGATAAAAGCCTTTGGAGAAAATTATAATCATCAGAAAAAGATGTTTGAAGAAATTGGGGGGAAAAATTTATGCACAAAAACTATTCACATGTTTCTATTTCACATGTATATTCCGTTTCTTCAATCCTTTTTTATGCTCTGAAATCTATACAAACACTGTCATACTTTATATTCTCACTAATATCATTATTCACAAGAAGATTAGTCCATCAACATGGAAAGTCCATGCAAGTAAATGATTGTATCTTACAGGGCTGAAGTAGCAGGACTAAAGGCTACTTTATTCCTCAACATATGCATTTGCAGGGTTAGCCCTTATCTATGGCTAGTCAATGGGTGTAATGTTGATCCTCTGGGGTCAAGTCAGGTAATAACCCCTTCAGGACACAGCTTCAGAAGTAAAAAGCCAGCATGACGGAAAATGTCCATCATGTGTCCTTAACACGATAAATAAATGGGCAAAAGAGTCATGTAAAGTGGGGAACAGCTTGTAGTATGGGGGCTGAAGAAAAAAAAAAGTAAAGGAATAATTAAAGCAGGGTGCACCACTACCACATTCACACACAGTTCACATGATACACATGTCGGCACAAACACACAACTTACATCGCACACATGTAGACCCAGCACCAAGTGAGACAGAAAGTAAGACAAAAAGAGAGAGATAGAAAAGTATTACTTTTCCAGATTTTAGTTCTGCAACACTTCCATGATATGTATTGTATGTGTCATTTCATGAATCAGATGCATATAGAATTCTTATTCATAATCCCACTAGTAGTATCAAGTAGTACAATATGCCAGTTTCACAACAACATATTTATTCTCTTTAATTTTCTTAATCACTTTATTTTTCATTGACAGATTGAGAAATGCTTTAGCATAACCATAACATTATAAAATGTACTTTGTTTCTGCAATTTTGTCAAACTATCTTGAATCTTATGATCTCCACTAGAGGGAATATTGTCCTATCGTTTTTCAATCCAAATTGTTTCAGCATTTTTTTATTATTATTCGAACTGGCTTCATGCCACCCACATACATATCTGTTGCTAAGTTGCTAAAGAATCTCTTTATAATGATGTTCCTAAATAAATCTTGCCATCAAAATCATATGCTTTCATGCTGCAGAAAAAGAAGGGGAAAAAAAAAACATAAAGAGACATTTTACCTCCTCGGGTTATGCATATTTTATACCTGATAGATTTATTGCCTGTACCTTTGGTATTTAGGTTGTTTTTTTTCCATAGGGGTGGGGTGGGTGCTAGCAAAAAATGTTGTTAGTGGGGCATAATTTGAGAAAGATAATAAACTATCTTAAAAAAGAAATCAATACATTATTCAATTACCTCTTATTATACAATAGCTGCTATGCATAAAAACACTTAAAACAAATAGTTTTTAAACCCATCAAATGCCAACAGTTATCCAAGCTCTTAACTTTACCCCTTAAAAACAAATTTGTCAGGGTTGTACAAATGCCCCTTTACATGGCTAGCTCATGTAAGAGATATATAGCCCCAGTGTTAAAAACGTACACAAGAGGGGCGTGGTTTGGGCTCTGACCAAGAAAGCCGCATAAATCAAGCATTCTGCTCCACTGGTCCTGTAATGAGCATTTTATACCCAGCCACGTACAAAGCACCCGAAACCCCCAGGCCCAGAGGGGCTCGCAAACAGGGCACCAACTGGGGTCTACCATATTCCTTAGTTCCTCCCCAATACGATCTAACATGTGGGATTCCAGGGAGGTCAGGGTGGACGGCACCATCTTAGGGCTCTCGGCCTCTCCACACAGCCCGGCTGGGATTGAAGAAAGCCATATATATTAAGCTTTCTTCAATCCCAGCCGTGCACGTGTGGAGAGGCCACAAAAGCTGATCTACTCACCCTTACTACCACCATTAAAGACACACTGAAAGCGGAGATGGCGGGCCTCTGGACGGAGGTGGTCGCGCAGGGAAGCCGCATCCAAGCATTGGAGGAATCAGTCGAAATCCAAACCACGAGGATGGTGGCTACTGACATGGAGGTGTCAAGACAGTAGGAGCTGCTCCTAGCTACGAGGATATCACTGGAGGACCTGGATAATAGGGGAAGTCGATGCAACATCCGGGCTCGTGGGGTACTGGAGGCTGAGGGGGAAGATGTGGGCCAGGGGATGCCTCTAATTTGTGGGGGGGGTTTACCTTTCTTTTGAACCCTGACACTTAGGCAAATGGCATGTCTCGGCCTAGCTGGAGAATCTCTCCGGTCATGAATTGCACACACCCTACTGTCACTGCCTGAGGTGATCCCCATTGGGTCTTTGTTGGATGGGGGAAACAGGGTAGGGAATCCTGCTGTGGTTTTTTTTGTTTTTTTTAATCTTTATTTTTGCAGTGCTTAGAGTTACAAGCAAGCTTGTACAGCCACAACAGCAGGTACAAGTTGATGAGTTATACAGAGTAAACAGTATTGTGGCAATTAGTAACAGCACAATTTTTAGTTATCAGGTTCAGGCAAGATATATATGTCTAAAACAGTGGCTTAAACTAAGATGGTATATATTAAAGGCAGGGTAGACTTAATAGGTAATATCAGGAATCTATGCAGATTAGACATAGGTGCAACACACAGGATTAGCATTAGGCTGGCTGTTCGAACTGACTGTGGGCTCATTTCCAAGACTAATATGTAAGATTAAATGAGTTAGGCTCCATAATATAGCGTAATCTGGCATGTTTTGACCACTGGATGGAGATTTACTGACCTTAGCATGCATTGGGACAGGGGGTGGGAGGGAGCAGTAATCATGTCTAACCCACGTTATCCCTTTTGAGACACTTATTACACGCATTCACTATCATGCTGTGTGCAGAGAAATCGTGTGAGAATGGTAGGTAGTTAAAAACATGCTAGATAAGGAGCAGTGCCTTACAGACCACTGTGTCTCGCTTTTATATAGTGGATATTGCACTGCACAACTGGGTAGCAGAAAAACAAAGGTAACTAAGGGGTTTGCAGCACAACAGCAAAAATGATAAATAAGTCCTGGAGGCATTGACAGGCCCGTGGTTTCTGTCGGATGCAGGTTGGCGTCCATGAAAAAAATGGGGGCTCACTATTTGTTAGTCACTTGGCTGCTGTTATGGGTTGTGAAGTTCAGCAGGGAAGGCACGTCAGCCAATGCCCTTTCTTGAGGCAGGATTCCCAGGTGCTGTATGTGGGTATCGCTTCCAGGCGTGCTGGAGGAACTGCCTGCCCGGACTCTGTGTTGCCGTTGGCTTGTGAGACCTTGCGTTATCCAGGAGAGGCCCCTGTGCCTCCGAGGGGGCAGAGTGAGGAGGGGGACGATCCCGTTGCTTCTCACCTGCATGATTCTTTGCTTGTCTGCTCCGCCAGGCACGTATGTGTCGAGCATGTCGGGGATTCCCACTCCCGGTACAGCAGCTCTTCCTGGGTACCCGAGTGTTCGCTCGCCATGCAGGGCGGCTTAGTTTCCCGAGTTCCTTCAGGGATTCCTGTGAGAGGTGAGTAAGCGTTTGAGTGCTCCTCTGTAAGCCTGTAAGGCCTTGGGTTCATTCTGCTCGTTACTGCAGTCGCTCCCAGAATGCCTCACATATCTTGTCGAAGGCTGCTATAAAGCCGAGATTAAGAATCTGATGACCTATCTCATCCAGCCTCTTCAGGGTCCCTTCCAGCGGGCCTCGTGTTTGGGAGGCATTTGGTGCGTCCGCCATTTTGGCTGGTGTTGCAGGATAGGCTGCGGAGTTCAGGTCTCTTGTGGTTGTTGTATACCCTCTAAATGGGAAGCTTTAGCCGGTGTGCAGGTGCCGTGATGAACCCCAACGGCGGGGAGAGGGGAACAGGAGCCCCTTTCACCTCTATGTGTCCCCGCAATGCGGGCGGCAGGGAGACCAGCTGTATCTTCTCAGCTGCACCCATGTGCAAGCCCCCAAAGAAGCTTCAGGTTACGACCGCCTGTCGAGTGGTGAAATGCCTTAAAAGGAGAGTATAGTGATTCTAGCCGAGTCGGAGTTTGTTTTCTTGGGTGAGAAGTCGTTATGTTTATTCTTTTGATTTTTCCTGGCAGGAGCTCACTTCGTGTGCGACTTGTCTGCATGGCGGTCAGGCCCCGCCCCTCTTCTGCGGTTTTTCATTGTGTTTTGGGTGGGAATTTTGGGGGGGGTCTAAATGCTTTTCACGAGAGGAGAGTGTGAGGTATGGGCGCTGATATGCTTTGGCTATTGCTACATCCCAGATTTGAGACTGCGCTGGTATGGGACGGGGTATGAGGGCTGCGCAAGCTTTATTTTGGGGGGGATTGATGGGTCCAACAGAGGATGATGGATCTCTCCTGAGGACACTGCGTGGATTGCGCTTCCCACTTTGCCACCCTAAGCTTGATAGCTCCACTGTATTGGGCCATGGCCTTTTGTATTTAATATTTTATGTATTTTTATGTTTGTTTTAATAATAAATAGTTTTTTAGAGTAATTACTTTTATGTCTAGTTTGGTCTCACTGCTTCTACATTTATCTACAAGGTGTAACATGTTCAGCCTCACCTTGCGGTATTTGCAGTAGTCAACTTCCTGATAAATGCGGAAGTGCCGTTCAGCGGTAATGTAGCAATATATCTGACTCCTGCGACATCTTGGTGGACGGCGGCTGATCCACACCAATATGTCGACGTGCGTGTGACGTCACGTAAAGGACCGCACGCACATTCTGGGGTCAAAGGCCAGGTACAGCCAATCGGATCTAAAGGGGGCTTATTTAAAACTCCTTTTTCCTTTTACTCATTGCCCTGTCGTGGTTTCCCTTAGTGGTTGTCCGAGAGTGTGTTCCTGAGCATTTAATTCTGGTTATTGACTTTGGCTTTGTTTTGACTTCTCTGTATTCTGGTATCCCTGACTTTTGGCTTTCCCTCATCGTTGTGTCTCCTTCTGTGTCCCTGACCTCGGCAAGTATTCTGACTATTCTCTGATATGTTAAATCCGGCCATTCTAAGGCTTGGTAAGACGTTACCTTTGTCCTAGGTGTGATACAGTTCTGCGTGCTGGATCAACTAGTAATCCTAACAGAAGGAGAGTGTCACCCCACAAACTGACACTAAGTGTTTTAACCTCACAGCCAGGATCTTAAAGCTCTGTTCAAGGTGAGCTTAACATTGAAACTACTGCTTAGTTTAGAAGCTTAATACAGGCTATACTATTGTTGTTTTCTCTCATCTTATGTATGTGGAGATCGTTTTAACCATCAAAGGGAGGCGTGATGCTGCCATAAAAGCATAACAGTGCATTCTACAGAGCCAGATTTATCAGGCTCTGAACCATGTGAGTGGTTCTATTTATTTACCAGTCTCTTGCACTTTCCCAATACCATCTACACTATATATGTTTTTTTGTTGTTTTTTATTTAAGATATACGCCATCTGTTTAATAAGGGGTAAGAAAATTGCATGATTATATCTTATTGTCTCATCTGTGAGTGCTCCACTATCGATATAGGCCTTAAAACCTATATTA